TACAAGGAGAATATTGTCTCTGGGTAAGAGAAGTGAATGAATTAAAAGAGAAAGGGGAAGGTGAATATACCTATTGGAAGAAAGGTGGGCTAGAAAGAGCACAGGCAATAGAGGTCAAATTATTATTATAATCAAAAAGAAGCGCTAAGCCACAAGGGCTATACAGCAATAGAGGTCAAAGAGCTATGTGATAGCTTAAAGAATGGAGTACTAGAATGAGCGGCAGTAGGTACAGCGTGTGGGGGAATGAAAGGCTGAATTGGAGTACTGGTCTAATTCCTTAGATATAAAGCCCCTTGCCAGCATGAAGGTACCTTCACTGAAGGGTCAGCTTGAAAAGTATGGTAAGTCTCAGACTGAGGCATCCTATTTCTGCTACATACAGTATAGTACTTACAGTAGCTTCTTTTGTCACCATGTAGTCCCTTGATGTAATAAAGTTGATAGAATTACCGACAATATGTAAAGTAAAAGGACACAAGTGCAACTAATGTGACATTTATTGTGGCAACGTTTCGCTCTCCAGGAGCTTTATCAAGCCATTACAAACAATACACGGACACAGAGGGTATATAAAGGCTCAGAGTGAGGTGCAGTACTAGTGAGGTACCATTTCGATGTTCACTAGTGGTAGTAGTAGTAGTGGTAGTGACAAAAGTAATACAATATGGTAGAGCAATTAATTCGTACATGAGTAAAAGGATATAAAAGCTATTACTTGGGTAACATAAAAATAGGTTGGACAAATACAGACTGGAAAGAGGCAGCGTGTTTCAGTGTTCACTCTCTGTAATGTGCTTTGTGTAGTATAACAGGAGAGACTATGTGATGGCAGGGTTTACTGTTTTCAGGAAGATTCTTGCTAAGACTTCGGAGATGGTGAAGCTGCTGTTGTTTTGTTTAATTGTATTTGAAACAGCGATCAGTGCTGATTCGAGGCACTTGCGTCTGCGGAAATTAGTTTCTTCGATCACTAATTGGGCGTCTCTGAATTTCATGAGATGATTGGTGGAATTTCGGTGTTGTACACAGGCGTTGTTCAAGTTATCGTTCCTACATGCGTAAATGTGTTCATTGAGGCGGGTGTCGAGGTTTCTTGCTGTTTCACCTACGTAAATCTTGTCACAGCCTCCACAGGGTATAAACTCCTGCATTGACTGGTTCGTGGTGCTTGGATTTTGTCCAGGTTAGATCCTTTATTGAAGTGCTAGAAGCGATGGCGACTCTGGTGTTAGCTTGTGAAAGTACTTTTGAGACGTTCAGTGCAACCTGGATGTTGGGAAGAATTATAACTTTGTTGGGAGTGGTGTTGATGCATGGAGAATTAATGATCTGAAGAGCTCTTTTCTTGCAGTCTTTGATGAAAAAAGGAAGGAAAATGTAACTCAGTGAATGTATGTACATTCCTTGTCAAGAAACTCAGGACTACAAATTCGGTATGCTCTTAGGAAAAACCCGATGATGATGCCTCTTTTGGTCTTGGTATCTTGACTGGAATAGAAGTGTGTGAGATCATTTTTATTGGTGGGTTTCCGATAAACTTGAAATCTTAGGTTATTGTCTACTTTGTGAATGAGGACGTCGAGGAAAGGTAGCTTGTCATTGGACTCTTCTTCTAGTGTAAACTGGATCGCCGGTTCAACTGCATTGAGCCTTGCCTGAAGATCCCGTACATCAAAACGTTTTGGAGTTATTACGAGGACATCGTCTACGTAACGTAACCAAGTGACGCTTGAAGGGATGAAGTTGGCGAAGTGTTCAGACTCTAGGTGTTCCATGTATAAGTTGGCTAGGATGGCACTTATGGGGGACCCCATTCCCATGCCGTAGGTTTGTTTGTAGAGCTTGTTATTGAAAGAAAAACAGTTGAAATTAACACAGAGTTCAATCAAGTCAACAAAATCTAAGGGAGGTAGAGGAAGATTAAGGTCCTGATTGACTTTACGTTGTAGAACCTTGATGGCTTTTGTGGTAGGTACTTTTGTGAAGAGGGAAGTCACATCCAAACTGCTTAGTTTCTTGTTACGGATGGAGAGGTTACGGATGCGGTTGAGAAGGTCGCCTGAGTGTTTAAGATGAGCGGGGCTGATGGTCCCCAGAAGGCAGGAAAGATGTTTGGCAAGAACTCCGGCTAGTTTGTGTGGAGCACTGCCTATTCCTAACGTGATAGGTCTGAGAGGAATATTGTGTTTATGGGTCTTGGGTTAACCATACATGTGTGCTGGTTTAGGGTTGCTTGGTAACAGGTACAGAAGTTTCTTCCCTTCTCTAGTGCGTTTGAGTATTTGTCTGTACATACATTCACCAAACATTCACTGAGTTACATTTTCCTTCTTTTTTCATCAAAGACTGCAAGAAAAGAGCTCTTCAGATCATTAATTCTCCACGCATCAACACCACTCCCAACAAAGTTATAATTCTTCCCGACAGCCAGGTTGCACTGAACGTCTCAAAAGTACTTTCACAAGCTAACACCAGAGTCGCCATCGCTTCTAGCACTTCAATAAAGGATCTAACCAGGACAAAATCCAAGCACCATGAACCAGTCAATGCAGGAGTTTACACTATACCCTGTGGAGGCTGTGACAAGATTTACGTAGGTGAAACAGCAAGAAACCTCGACACCCGCCTCAATGAACACATTTACGCATGTAGGAACGATAACTTGAACAACGCCTGTGTACAACACCGAAATTCCACCAATCATCTCATGAAATTCAGAGACGCCCAATTAGTGATCAAAGAAACTAATTTCCGCAGATGCAAGTGCCTCGAATCAGCACTGATCGCTGTTTCAAATACAATTAAACAAAACAACGGCAGCTTCACCATCTCCGAAGTCTTAGCAAGAATCCTCCTGAAAACAGTAAACCCTGCCATCACATAGTCTCTCCTGTTATACTACACAAAGCACATTACAGAGAGTGAACACTGAAACAAGCTGCCTCTTTCCAGTCTATATTTGTCCAACCTATTTTTATGTTACCCAAGTAATAGCTTTTATATCCTTTTACTCATGTACGAATTAATTGCTCTACCATATTGTATTACTTTTGTCACTACCACTACTACTACCACTACCACTAGTGAACATCGAAATGGTACCTCACTAGTATTGCACCTCACTCTGAGCCTTTATATATCCTCTGTGTCTGTGTATTGTTTGTAATGGCTTGATAAAGCTCCTGGAGAGCGAAACGTTGCCACAATAAATGTCACATTAGTTGCACTCGTGTCCTTTTACTTTACATAGTCCCTTGATGCTGGTTGAGCTACTGATCCAAGGCATTGAACTTGTACTTCCTTTCCTTAGATTGAACCTGATTGCTTTCCATTTCCCTGGATATTATACAATCCCTAGGGATTTAGCACCCCTCTTCCCATTAACGTAATGTCACACTTTCATAAGATAGTTCAATGCTCTAAGAAACATGTATAGAAAAAACTTTCAAAATAATCACAGCATTGCAAACATTTTAAGGATTACCTTTTTGGGGGTGGGGTGGGAGGTGGTAGAGCACTAAACCCATAGGGCTGTGGGAATGACGTCCAAAAAATATTCACATTATGTAACTGGAAAATCAACACACTGTAAAGCCTGTATCTTAGTCAAAGTTACACGCAAGTCAGAAGTGTCTAAAGGGTTGGTCAGAACTGCTGTACTAGAGGGTATCACACCATTACCCAGAGGAGGTACTGGGTTGGAAGAGAGGTCCAAAGGAGTGCCAGGGTCTGTAGGGGGTGCTGCAGGAAAGGGCCCAGGAGGAGGAAACTCATGGTTATGGGTCTCCATGATAAGTTCCTCTTGCGTCAGGAGGAATGAAAGGGATTGAATATTCCCCTCCATGTCCAAGAGGGCCCACAGTGCAGATGCTATGTGCAACCCATGCCATATCTTACCCTTCATGCCAGTACACTGGCAATCCAGGATAGCAACCTTCCATTTGCCGAGTCACCTCAATGGACAAGAGAGGGCAGCCGGAAATCCATCACAAGGCATGCCTCCATCAGCCACCACCTCCTGGATACACCCATTACCCGAAGGACACCCTAAGCCACCCCCTGGAACTCCAGAGGGGAAACAGGACATCCGCAGATGATCCAGATTCCACAGCAGACAAAACCATCACCAAGGACTTTCAATGGAATGGGATGGATATCAATATCCTTTCCCCAACCTAGGAGCTAGAATTTGAGGGGATGACCCCAAAGGCCAAAAGCAGGAAAGGAAGGAGAGGGGAAGGGAAAGGAGGGATGAGAAGGATTGGGTAGGGAAAGGGGGGTTGGGGAGTAATTAAGTTGGGTCGGAGGAAGACAGAATGGTCCAAACTCCCCCCAGGTCAGGAACCATAGACGTGATATTTATGACACTTCTGAAGATGGAGAAATATTTTTTCTCAAAATTTTTACATTCATACTGTGTATTTTTTTCATGTACAGTATATAAAACACTTACATTTGTCTGGAAAAGATTAGTTAAACTCGATTTTACAAGTTCTGTGGTAACTGCCACTACTGTAACTTGTATTGAACAGGTCAGCAGGAAGTTGTGGGAATGGTAATCCCATTTACACTACCATTCTCCAATTATAGTATGGTTTTTCTAAGGATAAATGGATGGAGAATCTAATAACTTTTCAGGAATTCATCATAGGTTGGGGCCTTACTGTTTGATGGAAATGCCAAAATCCTAAATCTATTATGGTTATAATCAGAACTAAGCGCTAAACCTACAAGGGTCATACAGCGCTGCCATTAAGTATATAGATTTTCTTAAGTTTTCTTTGTGGTAGGGAAGGAGCTAAAACCATAGGCATCATGTAGCACCTTTAGAATATGAGGCATTCAGATTGTATCCAAGGAAAGAGAGGATGGCTTTAATTTCTTGGACTAAGAGACCATAGCCCTAAGATGGTCCCCACCTTTTAATGTTTCAATCAAATGTATATTGTTTCCAAGAGTACACTGTATTTTACAGAAAAGGGTAATAAATTACAGTATCAAACTTCGTATATTATTTTCACCTTTAAATTGATTTTGCCAAGGTCAATATGACCAAAAATGAGTTCATTTTTCACAAATAATAAACTAACCTAGAACTTGGTCCACTCCTTAGTGGTGTAAAGGTTTTGCTTAATGAATTGTCCTGTGTCACTTTCTACTTACATTTCTTTCATAACACCAACAATCACATTTTTAACAATTCAACCAATATTTTGGACAGGTGAGTTCTTGACATTAATAGTTCATGTTTTAATGGCTGCTGAGAACTCATTCTGCTAAGTTGATTAAAAAGAACATAACTGATTGTCCTTCAAAGAAATGTAAACTCAATGTCTATCAGTCCATCCTCACACTTCGATCATCTTCGTACCATGATCAAACACATACCTTGATCATTTTTGTACTTTGATCACGAGGAACTTTGCTACCTGGTTACTGAAGGTGTCCACTGACTACTAGCCAGTCATCAATGTCTAAAAGTTTAAAAGCTAAACACAAGTCAGCTATCAACATTGACCTTCCAAGCCAGTAATCACAGCATATCAAGTGGCTACCTGCTCACCACCAGTCATCACTGGCCCTTCATTTATGGCACCACTGATCACAGTAATACATAATTTTATAAAATAAAAATATTGTAACACGATTTCATTGGCATATTTCAGTAATTTCTTAGGAAAAAAGACACCTTTGCAATGTCTTGTTGGTTCTATATCAATGTCCATAAAAATATCAGCTACTGGTTGCTAACATATCAGTGTCCACATGAAATTGAGATGACTGAATTTTCAATCTCCATAAGTTCAGTTTAAGGATTATTCAAAGCCAATCTTCATTTGCACTCCCTTTCATTGTAAATTTCCCCTCACACTTCAGTACTGTCTTAACAATCATGATGTACCTTAATCTAGGAATTTGCATGTTTCTCTGAAGAAAAACAAATAATAAGTTTTATGAAGTGACAGTACCAGTTTCAGCTTCATCCAGTTTAGCCTTCTTAGAACTCTCCGTGTTACCATCATCATGTGTGTGAGAGCGAGAAGTGGCCACACGCCACTCCAGGGAGTTGTACAGCAGGTCCACATCTTTAGGGCTACCCTGAAATATTCATAAATTTACAGATGGTCAGAGATTTAAGTTAAGCCAGAGATCTTTAAGAATATTTCATTATGGTATACCAAAAATGAATAAGCATGTCAGGTAAGATGCATAAATAAATTCTCAGGGTTTCAAAGGGTAAGTTTGGTATTAGAGTATATAAACAGCATTCACTGTGCTTAGTATATCACCAAGTTATAAATCATTTACCATACCAGATTTTTATTTCACATCAGTAAATGCTACTTACCGAAATTCTTAGCATTTTTTAAGGCTGTATTTTAACAAGCATGGATAAAAGATTTCTCAAAATGGATGACCCTCCAGTTGCATTACATAATTTATATTGTGAAATAATAAAAGTAGCATACTGAGCAACTTTCAGCGTAATGAGATAAAAAAAAAAAAGTTAAAACCTTTGTTTTCCATTAAAAATGTAAACTGATTAAAAAATATGTACTTCCAATTATAACTTGGGCTTCTATGAGACAAGGTTCAAATACTCATTACCATTACCAGGAACACTTCTCATTTGCTAGTTGAGGGACCCGTAAATTAGGTTATTGCCAATGACCACTCAAACATCCTCTTTTGTAATGGGTAGCAGGGTTCCAAACTACAGTATTTAGAATCATATCTTAGTGTTGCAGTCAAAATGCATTATAGCCTTTTCCTATTAACTGTTTAAATATCAATACAATTTCCATAATTTTCTTTTTGAGTGTAATCACCTATTAAAATTTTCAGAGGAAGAGCTCCAGCATTTGGAGACCACCTCTTAATTTTCTTATGAACTGTTTCTGATTTTGTCAAGCTCATTCCACTTCTTTGCAACATCTACATACGGGAGGGCCCAGCTTTATAACACTTCGATTTATGGCATTTTGTTAATGCAGCAGTTTTCAGTTACACCCATTCTTCATTTATTCAGACTTCCTACAATAAATATATTCACCACTCGCTGTAAGCCAAGGACAAAAATATTTTAAGGGAAGTAATGTGTGTACTGTATATGCATTTTTTAGGCCTAGCTCTATTGCTTACTGAATATATGTTAGTGTAAACATAACAGGTTTTTATTTGCATTTGAAAAATAGGCGGTTTCACTTTACAGTAGTAGCCCAGACTAACCTGTTGTATAAGCAGGGCCAGCCTGTATATTGCTACAGCCTTCAGATCTCTAATGCAGAAGTGTTTCCAACTGTATTTCCTAATTCAGTCTGCCTTGTTTATAAGCCCAGATTATTTATGTCTACTGTATTCCAAATGATGATCATTCCTTGCATAATGCATACAGCTATCACTTCTTTCTTTCAACAAACTGGCCATATTCCACCAGAGAAAAACTAAAGTTTTTTTTAACTTTAGTAATGGATACAAAAGGGGGTCACTAGCCCCTTGCTCCTAGCATTTTTTTAGTCACCTCTAACAACATGCATGACTTACAGAGGAAGAATTCTCTTCCACTTCCCCATGGAGATAGGAAATAAACAAGAATAAAATCTTTTCGAGGACGACCCCTACCCAGTCTTCCTTCCCCTACAGATTTATACGCTCTCCAAGTCATATTACTTTGTTCCATTCTTTCTAAATGACCAAACCACCTCAACAACCCCTCTGACTAATATTTTTATTAACTCCACATCTTCTCCTAATTTCCACACTCCGAATTCTCTGCATAATATTTACACCACACACACAATAGTATTAGAATGTGGGGCAGAAGTTTGTGGTTATAGGAGGGTGCGTGCAGGAGGAAAGAGGAGTGATTGGTGGAATGATGAAGTAAAGGGTGTGATAAAAGAGAAAAAGTTAGCTTATAAGAGGTTTTTACAAAGCAGAAGTGTTATAAGAAGAGTAGAGTATGTGGAGAGTAAAAGAAAGGTGAAGAGAGTGCAAAAGGAGAGCAGATGATAGAGTGGGAGAGGCACTGTCAAGAAATTTTAATGAAAATAAGAAAAATTTTTGGAGTTAAACAAGTTAAGAAAGCCTAGAGAACGAATGGATTTGTCAGTTAAAAACAGAGTAGGGTAGTTAGTAGATGGGGAGATGGAGGTTTTGGGTAGATGACAAGAATATTTTGAGGAACTTTTAAATATCAACGAAGAAATGAAGCGGTAATTTCATGCACTGGCCAAGGAGGTATACCAGCTTTTAGGAGTGAAGAACAGGATGTGAGTGTGGGGGAGGTGCGTGAGGCATTACGTAGAATGAAAGTGGGTAAAGCAGCTGGAACTGACGGGATCATGACAGAAATGTTAAAAGCAGGGGGGGATATAGTGTTGGAGTGGTTGGTATTTTTGTTTAACCCTTTGACTGTCGCGGCCGCATATATACGTCTTACGAGGTACCGTGTTTGACGTATATTTTTTTTTTTTTTTTTTTTTATTATCACACCGGCCGATTCCCACCAAGGCAGGGTGGCCCGAAAAAGAAAAACTTTCACCATCATTCACTCCATCACTGTCTTGCCAGAAGGGTGCTTTACACTACAGTTTTTAAACTGCAACATTAACACCCCTCCTTCAGAGTGCAGGCACTGTACTTCCCATCTCCAGGACTCAAGTCCGGCCTGCCGGTTTCCCTGAATCCCTTCATAAATGTTACTTTGCTCACACTCCAACAGCACGTCAAGTATTAAAAACCATTTGTCTCCATTCACTCCTATCAAACACGCTCACGCATGCCTGCTGGAAGTCCAAGCCCCTCGCACACAAAACCTCCTTTACCCCCTCCCTCCAACCCTTCCTAGGCCGACCCCTACCCCGCCTTCCTTCCACTACAGACTGATACACTCTTGAAGTCATTCTGTTTCGCTCCATTCTCTCTACATGTCCGAACCACCTCAACAACCCTTCCTCAGCCCTCTGGACAACAGTTTTGGTAATCCCGCACCTCCTCCTAACTTCCAAACTACGAATTCTCTGCATTATATTCACACCACACATTGCCCTCAGACATGACATCTCCACTGCCTCCAGCCTTCTCCTCGCTGCAACATTCATCACCCACGCTTCACACCCATATAAGAGCGTTGGTAAAACTATACTCTCATACATTCCCCTCTTTGCCTCCAAGGACAAAGTTCTTTGTCTCCACAGACTCCTAAGTGCACCACTCACTCTTTTTCCCTCATCAATTCTATGATTCACCTCATCTTTCATAGACCCATCCGCTGACACGTCCACTCCCAAATATCTGAATACGTTCACCTCCTCCATACTCTCTCCCTCCAATCTGATATTCAATCTTTCATCACCTAATCTTTTTGTTATCCTCATAACCTTACTCTTTCCTGTATTCACCTTTAATTTTCTTCTTTTGCACACCCTACCAAATTCATCCACCAATCTCTGCAACTTCTCTTCAGAATCTCCCAAGAGCACAGTGTCATCAGCAAAGAGCAGCTGTGACAACTCCCACTTTGTGTGTGATTCTTTATCTTTTAACTCCACGCCTCTTGCCAAGACCCTCGCATTTACTTCTCTTACAACCCCATCTATAAATATATTAAACAACCACGGTGACATCACACATCCTTGTCTAAGGCCTACTTTTACTGGGAAAAAATTCCCCTCTTTCCTACATACTCTAACTTGAGCCTCACTATCCTCGTAAAAACTCTTCACTGCTTTCAGTAACCTACCTCCTACACCATACACTTGCAACATCTGCCACATTGCCCCCCTATCCACCCTGTCATACGCCTTTTCCAAATCCATAAATGCCACAAAGACCTCTTTAGCCTTATCTAAATACTGTTCACTTATATGTTTCACTGTAAACACCTGGTCCACACACCCCTACCTTTCCTAAAGCCTCCTTGTTCATCTGCTATCCTATTCTCCGTCTTACTCTTAATTCTTTCAATTATAACTCTACCATACACTTTACCAGGTACACTCAACAGACTTATCCCCCTATAATTTTTGCACTCTCTTTTATCCCCTTTGCCTTTATACAAAGGAACTATGCATGCTCTCTGCCAATCCCTAGGTACCTTACCCTCTTCCATACATTTATTAAATAATTGCACCAACCACTCCAAAACTATATCCCCACCTGCTTTTAACATTTCTATCTTTATCCCATCAATCCCGGCTGCCTTACCCCCTTTCATTTTACCTACTGCCTCACGAACTTCCCCCACACTCACAACTGACTCTTCCTCACTCCTACAAGATGTTATTCCTCCTTGCCCTATACACGAAATCACAGCTTCCCTATCTTCATCAACATTTAACAATTCCTCAAAATATTCCTTCCATCTTCCCAATACCTCTAACTCTCCATTTAATAACTCTCCTCTCCTATTTTTAACTGACAAATCCATTTGTTCTCTAGGCTTTCTTAACTTGTTAATCTCACTCCAAAACTTTTTCTTATTTTCAACAAAATTTGTTGATAACATCTCACCCACTCTCTCATTTGCTCTCTTTTTACATTGCTTCACCACTCTCTTAACTTCTCTCTTTTTCTCCATATACTCTTCCCTCCTTGCATCACTTCTACTTTGTAAAAACTTCTCATATGCTAACTTTTTCTCCCTTACTACTCTCTTTACATCATCATTCCACCAATCGCTCCTCTTCCCTCCTGCACCCACTTTCCTGTAACCACAAACTTCTGCTGAACACTCTAACACTACATTTTTAAACCTACCCCATACCTCTTCGACCCCATTGCCTATGCTCTCATTAGCCCATCTATCCTCCAATAGCTGTTTATATCTTACCCTAACTGCCTCCTCTTTTAGTTTATAAACCTTTACCTCTCTCTTCCTGATGCTTCTATTCTCCTTGTATCCCATCTACCTTTTACTCTCAGTGTAGCTACAACTAGAAAGTGATCTGATATATCTGTGGCCCCTCTATAAACATGTACATCCTGAAGTCTACTCAACAGTCTTTTATCTACCAATACATAATCCAACAAACTACTGTCATTTCGCCCTACATCATATCGTGTATACTTATTTATCCTCTTTTTCTTAAAATATGTATTACCTATAACTAAACCCCTTTCTATACAAAGTTCAATCAAAGGGCTCCCATTATCATTTACACCTGGCACCCCAAACTTACCTACCACACCCTCTCTAAAAGTTTCTCCTACTTTAGCATTCAAGTCCCCTACCACAATTACTCTCTCACTTGGTTCAAAGGCTCCTATACATTCACTTAACATCTCCCAAAATCTCTCTCTCTCCTCTGCATTCCTCTCTTCTCCAGGTGCATACACGCTTATTATGACCCACTTCTCGCATCCAACCTTTACTTTAATCCACATAATTCTTGAATTTACACATTCATATTCTCTTTTCTCCTTCCATAACTGATCATTTAACATTACTGCTACCCCTTCCTTTGCTCTAACTCTCTCAGATACTCCAGATTTAATCCCATTTATTTCCCCCCACTGAAACTCTCCTACCCCTTCAGCTTTGTTTCGCTTAGGGCCAGGACATCCAACTTCTTTTCATTCATAACATCAGCAATCATCTGTTTCTTGTCATCCGCACTACATCCACGCACATTTAAGCAACCCAGTTTTATAAAGTTTTTCTTCTTCTCTTTTTTAGTAATTGTATACAGGAGAAGGGGTTACTAGCCCATTGCTCCCGGCATTTTAGTCGCCTCATACGACACGCATGGCTTACGGAGGAAAGATTCTTTTCCACTTCCCCATGGACAATAGAAGAAATAAAAAGAACAAGAGCTATTTAGAAAAAGGAGAAAAACCTAGATGTATGTATATATATATATATGCATGTGCGTGTCTATGAAGTGTGACCAAAGTGTAAGTAGGAGTAGCAAGATATCCCTGTTATCTTAGCGTGTTTATGAGACAGAAAAAGAAACCAGCAATCCTACCATCATGCAAAACAGTTACAGGTTTTTGTTTCACAGTCATCTGGCAGGACGGTAGTACTTCCCTGGGTGGTTGCTGTCTACCAACCTACTACCTTAACGTATATATACGTATATATACTCATAAATTCTAGCGGCTTCAAATCAAGCAGGAGAAAGCTGGTAGGACCACATGTGAGAGAATGGGTCTGTGTGGTCAGTGTGCACCATATAAAAAAAATCCTGGAGCACGCAGTGCATAATGAGAAAAAAGACTGAACGTTTTTTTTAATTAAAAATGCCGACTTTGTGGTCTATTTTCGTATGGTATTTATGGTTGTATTCTTGTTTTCTTGGTCTCATTTGATAGAATGGAAAACATATTATAGAAATAGAGGTGATTTTGATTGATTTTACTATAAAAAGAACCTAGAAATGGAGCTCAAAGTAGGGGAAATGTTTGATTTTTGCCAATGTTCAAAAGTAAACAAATGATGCCATTGTCCAATAAATGTCCAACTAGCCATTCTAATATGCAGTCATGAATGGGTTGATGTTATTTATACAATTATTACAGTATTGCAGTAGTCTGCATAATAGTAAGTCTTCTATTTTTTGTTTGAATAAAAATTCAAAATAGAAAGCAAGAGTAATATTAGAGGGGCCTGGAGACATGACTGATGAGCAAAGAAAATGTTATTTTAGAGCCAAGAATGTCTGCATTGTTCATTCTGGACCTTATTTTGAAATTGTCATATTTTTTAGTTTTAGTGAAATTGGCCAAATTGCAAATTTCTGACCACATTATTAGGTAGTTGAAATCGGTAAATGGGCAGTTTCTTGTACTCAATCGATAGAAAAAATGGAGTTCTAAAGAAATAGCTATGAGTTTGTGCGACTGGAGCAATGGAATTAGCCGAAAATAGGGCTCAAAATGGGCGAAATCGCCGATTTGTAAACAGCGCCAAGGTCGCTAACTTCGCGAGAGCATAATTCCGTCAGTTTTCCATCAAATTTCGTTTTTTTGGTGTCATTACAATTGGGAAAAGATTCTCTATCATTTCATAAGAAATAATAATTTTTTTTTTTAAATTTTGCGACACCAGGAGACACCTCAGGATTGGGGGTTGCGACAGTCAAAGGGTTAATAAATGTATGAAAGAGGGGAAGGTACCTAGGGATTGGCAGAAAGCATGTATAGTCCCTTTATATAAAGGGAAGGGGGACAAAAGAGATAGTAAACTTATTACTCTATAATTTTTACCAAGTATATCAGGAAAAGTGTACGATAGGGTTATAATTGAAAGAATTATAGGTAAGACAGAATGTAGGACTGCAGATGAGCAAGGAGGTTTCAGAGTGGGTAGGGGATGTGTAGATCAAGTGTTTAAATTGAAGCATATATGTGAACAGTATGTAGATAAAGGTAGGGAAGTTTTTATTGCATTTATGGATTTAGAAAAGGCATATGATTGTAGACAGCCTGTACTGTCTGCACAGACAGCCTAAGCTGTCTGCAAGCTTAGTTCATATTTCATAGCACTAAAGTGCTGCCCTCTGGGCCTGCTCCAAGTCTGTGGGAAGCTGGTCCCACACGCTCTCACTCACACAGTGGCCAAGCAGGAAGACACAAGGCCTACCAGGTCTCTCCCTTGTGAGCATGGTCTACCCAGGCCATGGGCACAACACACAAGCCTGTGTACCCACCACTACATTACAAATAAAGTAAAGAAGCCTCCGAAGACGTATCATTAACCACCCGCTTTCAGCTTACCAAATAATCTCGTTATATGGTACAGTGGACAGGGAAGCAATGTGGCAGATGTTGCAAGTATATGGAATAGGTAGTAAGTTACTAAATGCTGTAAAGAGTTTTTATGAGGATAGTGAGGCTCAGGTTAGGATGTGTAGAAGAGAGGGAGATTACTTCCCAGTAAAAGTAGGTTTTAGACAGGGATGTGTAATGTCACCATGGTTGTTTAATATATTTACAGATGGAGTTGTAAAAGAAGTAACTGCTAGGGTGTTGGGAGAGGGGTGGGATTAAATTATGGGGAATCAAATACAAAATGGGAGTTGACACAGTTACTATTTGTTGATGATACTGTGCTTATGGAAGATTCTAAAGAAAAGTTGCAAAGGTTAGTGGATGAGTTTGGGAGAGTGTGTAAAGGTAGAAAGTTGAAAGTGAACATAGATATGAGTAAGGTAATGAGGGTATTAAATGATTTAGATAAAGAAAAATTGGACATCACACTGGAGAGAGAGAGTATTGAAGAAGTGAATGTTTTCAGATATTTGGGAGTTGATGTGTCAGCGGATGTGTTTATGAAGGATGAGGTTAACCATAGAATTGATTAGGAAAAAAAGGTAAGTGGTGTGTTGAGGTATATGTGGAGACAAAAAAATTTATCTATGGAGGGAAAGAAGGGAATGAAAGTATAGTGGTTCCAACTCTCTTATATGGGTGTGAAGCTTGGGTTGTAAATGTTGCAGCAAGGAGGCGGCTGGAGGCAGTGGAGATGGTGGAGATGTCCTGTCTAAGGGCAATGTGTGGTGTAAATATTATGCAGAAAATTCGGAGTGTGGAAATTAGGAGAAGGTGTGGAGTTACTAAAAGTATTAGTCAGAGAGCTGAAGAGGGGTTGTTGAGGTGGTTTGGTCATGTAGAGAGAATGGATCAAAGTAGAATGACATGGAGATCGTATAAATCTGTAGGGGAAGGAAGGCAGGGTAGGGGTCATCCTCGAAAAGGTTGGAGAGAGAGGGGGTAAAGGAGGTTTTGTGGGCAAGGGGTTTGGACTTCCAGCAAGCACGCATGAGCGTGTTAGATAGGAGTGAATGGAGACGAATGGTTTTTGGGACCTGACGAGCTGTTGGAGTGTGAGTAGGGTAATATTTAGTGAAGGGATTCAGGGAAACCGGTTATTTTTATATAGCCAGACTTGAGTACTGGAAATGGGAAGTACTATGCCTGCACTTGGGATATTGAAAGTTTGGAGAGATATGTTATATATCTTTATATATGCTTCTCAACTGCTGTATCTGGGCACCTCTCCAAAACAGTGATTATGTACGAGTGAGGTGAAAGTGTTGAACGATGATGAAAGTATTTTCTTTTTTGGGGATTTTTTTTCTTTTTGGGCCACCCTGCCTCGGTGGAAGATGGCCAACTTGTTGAAAAAAAAAGTGTTTGTGTGTGCACGTGCATGCTCTTGAACATGCAAGTGTAGTGTGCCCTAAGTGTAAGTAGAAGTAGCAAGACATACCTGAAATCTTGAATGTTTACGAGACAGAAAAAAGACATCAGCAACCCTACCATCATGTAGAACAATTACAGGCTTGTTTCACACTCGCTTGGCAGGACGGCTGTTTACCAACTTACTACCTACGCAGCTATCACATTCTCGAAAATTTAATATTCTAAATGCCATGCAGTAACGAAAAATATCACTCATTTTCATACCATAGCCAGGAAGATTTTAGGTTGGCCATCAGCATCAAGTGCAGTGAATCTCACACTTTTACTGCTTGCACGTTCAATTGACATCTCTGCCCAGACCTGGATGGAAATATATTACATATCTGCTTTTTACACACAAAACATTCATGTTGTCAGTTATTTAGCTGCACAAAATTATAATAAATTTAAAGCCTAGAAATTAAGCACTAAAAACAATACACCATATTCAAATAGATAAAGATACCATATACATTTCTCAAGTCACCAGAATTGTTAAAGATGTTCCAAGTTGTAACTTCCTTTGAGACACTTAAACTTTGGCCACAACCTATAGCTACATTTGAGGCTTACAGAGACACTGCAGAAATTAAAAACTGGAAAACCCTGTAACACACAAGTAAGACTCTGATGTTGGGAGGGGGGCCAGGAGTCCTATTTCAAAGTCAAAATCCTGACTAAACAATCTATACTAGTAAAAATAAATTAAGCTATAAAAAATGTGCATTAAAACATTCAATATACAAAATATTTAATTTCTAACCTTAGTGTTAAGCATCACAGTTAGCGTTCCTTGTGTGCGAATAACGAGACGGGAATGTATCTCTTGTCCTGCATCCCAGTCATTAAGGCGTAGGATACCTCGACCTCGTTCCTGCCATGATCCATTTACCCAGGCATACAACTTGCAATTCATCTGTGTAAAGTGTGCAAACAGAAATTATGAAACTACTACCACCACCACCTCATCGATTTGTTTCTTCACTTTAAAACCTTTTATAGATAAACATCTTTGTGCTAAATGGTTTGCATAGTGACCCCATATAGGTAGGAATGTTTACAGTTCAGGGAATCATTTGTAATGTGATGTCTGCATTTCTGGAAAGTACTGAGAATAAGCAATGGTGAGTGTGGTAAAAAAAAAAAAAAAACTGTATACAATTGGGCTTAACAGTTTCTTGCTTTCTAATTTCCTTTGCAACTTTGAGTAGGTATTATTAGAATCAAAAAGAAGTGCTAAACCTACAAGGGTCATACAGTGAAGCAGAGTAGGGAAGGAAGCAAGGGTATTGGGTAGCAAGAGGGAGAGGGATTACTATCAGGTCATGGAGTGCAACAGGGCAGTGGATAGTGTAAGGGTAGAGGGTAGCAAGAGATTGAGACAGAAAGGGCTGTGAGAAGTGCTAGAGGCATCATCATCAGTTTGTGAAGTGTATCAGTTGCTATCAAAAAGTCAACGAGAGAGTCTGGGTTAAAGGAGGGTCCATCAGCAAGAAGGGAAGGTAAAGTAAGGGCAGTAGAGCAGTGACGACACTGGAGGTAAATTCTGCATGCTTGTTGATAGGGTGGGCAGTCCAACAGAATATGGCTAACAGAAACGGGAACCTGACAATTCGCCCAGAGTGGAACAGGGCACCTCTCCATGAGATACCTGTGAGTAAGACAAGTGTGGCCGATGCAAAGACAAGAAAGAGTAGTCTCCCAACCTCAATAATGATGACAAGAAGATGGCCAGAATCCTATACATACGTGTGCTTGGTTTAATAGAATGTAATTTGTTACATAGCAGATCAGACCAACGTTGTTGCCAACGGGTGCGAAGGTGGGTAGCAATTACAGCAAAATAACCTGTGAATGGAACACCTCTATATGAAACTGGGAGATCATGTACTGCTGACTGCACAGGAGTGTCTACCTGTTCATTGCCCTGTACATCAACAGGACCGGGGACCAAACTAAAAATATCTCTGTGCTTGCTGGAGATATGGCATAACCAAAGTTGGATACGAAGAACCAGGGGATGAGGTGTATCAAATTTTCTTATAGCCTGTAATGCACTAAGGGAGTCCGAAATGACCACAAGTGGTGACACAGGCACAGATGCAATGTGGATAAGTGCTACGAGAATGGCATACAATTCAGCCATAAAAATGCTAACTGAGGATATAAATGCTCTCACACGATGCTGTCCTGAAACTGCTGTGAATCCAATGCCATCAAAAGACTTGGAACCACCGGTGTACATTGTGATGGCATGAGAATGAGATCGGAAGTGGTTAAGAAAAAGAGAGTGAGAAGCCACCATAGGCAGTTGGGCTTTTGCGCATGCCAGTGGGAAACAACAGACACAAACTGTCGGAACTTCACAAGGGGGTAGGGAAAAGTGAGATGCTACATGAACATAGAAAGGTGGTAACTGAGGAGAAGTAGAGCGAATGTAGGCGAAAAGAAAAGGGACGGAGTAAACAGGGGTGAATAAAAAGAACGTCTACTAACATCGGTGACTATTCTATATATTGAAGAATTGCGGAGGTCATGAAAGCGAACGTAATAGTGAAGGCAATGAGCATTATGGCGATCAGTCAAGGATGGAATATTCGCCTCTGCATTGAGGCTCTCAACCGGTGAAGAGTGAAAAGCACCAACAAATAAACATAATCCCTGGTGATGGATGGGATTAAGGCCAGAAAGAGTTGCAGGAGAGGCTGCTACACAAATAACTCACACATAAAAGAGAGAAGCTTACGACGACGTTTCGGTCCAACTTGGACCATATCTAGTCACCATAGTCGAGTTTAGATAAAATTAGGGCTGAATGTAGTCAGAGGAGAGTTCTACGATCAGCACCCCATGAAAAATGAGCGAGGGTCTTAAAGAGGCTCAGCCGGCTATGAAAGTTGCCTTCAGAGAGGTAATGTGAGGTTTCCAGGGTAACCAATGGTCAAACAGAAGGCCGAGAAACCTGACTGTCACGTTCTGAGATACGCGAGCCATGTAGGTACAGTGGATGATCAGAAATGACAGAACATCTAGTGAAAGTAATTTGGCGAGTTTTAGTATTAGAAAATTTAAACCCATGAGTAGTGGCCCCAATTGGAAACACGGTTGACCACATCCTGGAGAGAAATTGCAATGAGGTGACAGTCAGTGCCTGCACAAGCTAAAGCAAAGTCATCAACATAGAATGATGACCAAATATTAGATGGAAGAATAGATGCCAGATCATTGATAGCAAGGAGAAAAAGTGTTGTGCTCAGAACACATCCCTGGGGGACACCGTCAACTTGGACAAAGTCCGGGGAAAGCATATTATTAACCCGAACACAAAAATGTCCCTCAATTAAGAAGTTCTTAAGGAAAAATGGTAGACTACCTCGGAGGCCTAAGGAGTGGGCCTGGGCCAAGATGTTATACCTCCAAGTTGTGTCATATGCCTTCTCAAGGTCAAAAAAGATGGCAATAACTGAGTGGTTATTGACAAAGGCATTACGAATGTAAGTATCCAAGTGTAGTAAGGGGTCAATGGTAGAACAGCCTTTATGAAAGCCATATTGACTAATGGAGACTATTGTGCATCTCTAAATACCACATCAAACGTCTATTTACCAGACGTTCCATCACCTTGCAAACTGCACTGGCAAGAGCAATGGGACGATAGTGGGAGGCATCATGTCCCATAGTACCCGGTTTGAGGAAAGGGAGAACAATGGCAAATTTCCACAGCTTAAGAAGAACTCCTCATGATCAAATAAGATTAAAGTCTGAAGAGGACAACAAGGGCCGACTGATGCAAGAGCTGTAGCATATGAATATGAATACCGTAAGGCCCAGCTGTCGATGATCGGCAAATGGATAGTGTTGCCTCCAGTTCCAGAAGTGTAAAAGGCACATTATAAGATTCTTCTCTGATAGAAGAAAAGTTTAAGGGCTCTAACTCTCTGGCAAACTTGGAGGAAAGAAACAAAGGGCATAGATGGAGCCCCTGAGAGATACAGACAAGATGATTACCAATTTCGGTGGCAATGTCAAGAGGGTTTGCTATAGTGACACTGGCAACCCGAAGAACAGGAGCCAGGACAGGAGAGTATTTACCACTCAGTTTCCGTACTGTTTTCCAGACTGCACTCATAGAGGAAGCCGAAATGATGGAAGAAACATAATCCCAGCAAGTGCATTTAGCGTCACGGATGACATGGCGGACGACTGCTCTTAAAATCAAGAAGTTGCACTGTGGTTCTATTGTACCGGTACCTACCCCATGCAGAGCATTTCAAGTGCACTGCCCAAGCACAAGCAGACCACCAAGGTACTCACCTCTGAGAATGCCTGCCCAAGGTTTGGGGTATAGAATGTGAAGCTGCGGTTAACACTGAGGTCGAGAAGAGGTGTAAAAGCTCATTAATGGAGGATGAAGAAGAATCCTCATTAAAAGCAGTTTGACACAAGTAAAGGTCCCCATTCACTCAGTCAAACTGCCAGCGTGGGCTACGAGGAGGTGGTGAATACGAAGGAGAAGTAAGGATGATTGGAAAATGATCGCTGTCATGCAACTCCGGGAGGAGAGACCAGGTAAAGTCTAGTACAGTCAAGGAAGAGCAAACTGAGAGATCAATGCAAGAGAGAGAATGAGTATGAGGACCAAAATGGGTGGGAGTACCCGTATTTAAAACATGGAGGGGGAGACATGCGAGAAAAGCCTCCAACTGAATGCTGTGGGAGTCACAGTGAGACCCCCCCTAGGAAATGGTGAGCATTAAAATCACCAAGTAACAGAAGTGGTGGCGGTAAGGAAGAAACAGAAACGCACCATCTGGCATAATGCCCGAGGAGAGAGATACAAAGAACAGATTGTATACCACTTATTCAAGTGGATGTGGGCTGCAGTGTAATGCAGCAAAGTATGAACAAAGAGCTGATGGTATGGAATACCAGTGTGTATACAAAGTGAACATTCATTAAAGGTTACATCAGGAAAAGGATCCAATGAATATAATAAAACATAGCCCGAGATGGGATGGATAACAGCAGAGCGTAATTTGGGTTCTTGTAAACAAACACAAATGGAAAAACTGGGAGAGCAACATCTGAAGCTCACCCCAGTTACCTCTGAGGCTATGGATATTCCACTGTAAATAAGCCATGATTTGTGAAGAGAAAGATACAGGGAAATCTGAAGGTAGAGGTATCTACGAACTAGAAGGGTTAGAAAAGTCCACGTGTTAAGGCAGCGGAAAACACACAAGCAGCGAAGGATTGGGATGCTGCGAAGAAAGGAGTTGTGCAGATGGAGAAGAGTGAAGAGGAGGAACAGGAGGTGGATCTTTGTCCATCAATGGTCAAGTCTCCTCAATATATTCGGAGATAGCTTCAAGCGTTTCAGAGGACAAGGACGTTGTATGTGGGATGATACTGGAGATGGGAGGAGGAGGGTGAGTAAAGATCAAGGTGACTATGGAATGTACCAAAGCAGAGGCTGACGAAAGGGTAGAGGGAACTGGAGAAGAAGCTTGGGAGGGGACAGGAGAGGAAGTGACCTGGGAGGGGGTAGAAGAGGAAGAAACTTGGGAGGGGACAGGGCAGATACACTACAAGGACATAAGTGTCTACTTAGAGGATTGGGAGGTCTTGGAGCTCAAGCAGTTTCAGAATGTCATCACCACATCTGGAAATGCCGTTGGACAATGGTATGAGGTAGAATGGCAGTACCACTATAAAGAACTGAGAGAATGAAGTTTTTCAATAGTTACAGGAACAGCATTTATGGTTGTAAGGAGAAAAAGATCACGAGCTTGGCTAGCATTCTGTACCGTGGCAATGCGTGCACCGCTCTCGAGAGCATGAAAGGATATATCTTGACCAACATGGCCTTGCTAATACAGTGGAACCTCAAAAATCGAATGCATCAAAAATAGGACCATTTTTTCGGACAAACTGTGTCCCTATTATCGAACGCGCCCCTATTTTCGGACCGCCGGGTACGGGACCTGTCTGCCGCTCGCTCTGTCCGCGTCCCCGCGCAGGCGCCGTGAGCAGTCTAGCTTTGTTTATGCTTGAGTGAACACTAACCTGCACTCTCATTCACGCATTTTACGATTATTTCGTTGTGTTTAGTGCTTATGGGACTGTGAAATAAGCTGCCATGGGCCCAAAGAAACTTGCTAGTGGTACCCCTGTGGCAAAGAAAGTGAGAAACACCATAGATGTGAAGAAGGAAATAATACAGAAGTATGAGAGTGGTGTGAGACTTGTTGAGCTTGCCAGGATGTATGGGAAAAACTAAGTCGACCATCGGTTCTATCCTGTCAAAGAAAGAACAAATCATGGAAGCTGATGTTGCGAAAGGTGTTAATATAGGGAGTGGATGAGGTGCCTTCTTCAAAGATTAAGGAGATTTGTGCCAAGTAGAATGATGTCCAAATGTTTGTGCAGAAGTACCACCCTGAGCAAGCTGAAACAAGCCATCTTTGCAACAAGTTCAGTGACAGAACCATGTCCCATTTTAGGGAAATGTTAAAGAGGTGCCAGAAACAGAGGACTGTGGACAGTTATTTTGTGAGACAGGGGTCCAGTGACTCTCAAGCTGGTCCTAGTGGCATTAAAAGACAGAGAAGGGAAGTAACCCCAGAGAGGGCTTTACCTGAAGTCCTCATGGAGGGGGATTCTCCTTCCAAACACTAACCCCAACTCCCTCTCTCCTCCTCCCTATCTTCCAGATGCCATCACCAATCTTCAATAAAGGTAAGTAAAATTTTTATTTTATATGTATTACTATACATACTTAAAAACTATAGTATTTGTTGTATGTAAAACTGTAATTAATCTCTATAAAATGTATTTTTTGTGTGAATATTTTTGGGTTTCTGGAACGGATTAACTGTATTTCCATTATTTCTTATGGGAAATATTGCTTCGAATTTCAGACTTTTCGAATTTAGAACTAGCTCCTGGAACGGATTAAGTTCGATTTTTGAGGTTCCACTGTACTATGATCGAAAAGATAGTCAGAAGTCGGTCACAGAGTAAAAAACTTAGTCCATTGTGTATTTTGAAACACAGTGTGTATGTGGAGGGAGTGTCGTGCCGGTCTTTTCTAGGCAGAATGAGAAGGAAGAGTAGTAGTATCATCAGGTAATGGTCTTGGGCATTTAGGTGTGGGACCGGAGGTGGTCCGAAAATCGTCACACAGTAGAGGGAGAAGCTGGAAGCATGGTCAAAAAAGTGCGGAGGTCAGATGTATCAAAGGAGTCAGATGGAACCCCGGTAACTGGAGCAGGTGACGAAGTGGCACCAGCAGGAGGTACAGGGGCATGAGAAATGTCTGAAGAGTGGTCAAATAATGAGGTAGGGCCGGAACAAGGTGTGGTAGCAGAAAGGGGCCCAGGGGAGCTGTTTTATGGACTTAGGACTCCATGGTTATGTCACTTCTTTAATGGGGGGGATGGGGGGGCATGGAGTGATAGCACCTAGGAGGAATGAAAGGGCTGTAAGTCCCCCTCTGCTCCCAGGAGGACCCCAACACTTCAAGTAGTGCAGATGCAGCATGGAACTTGTGCCATACCCTACCCTTCATCCCAGTAAACCAGCAATCTGGGATAGCAACTTCACATCTACCGAGCCACCTTGGTGGACTAAAGAAAGGGCAACCGGATACCTGCCAGAAAGCATACCTCCTTTGGCCACTGCCCCCCAGAATTCAAAAGGCAGCTTCCAGAGATACACCCATCACCCGAAAGGCACCCAAAGCTACCCCCCCCGGAGATCGGAGAGGAAGTGGGACATCCCCAGGTGATACAGATTCTATGGCAAACTACACCACCACTTTGGACCTCTATGGAATGGAATGGAATGGAATGGACCACGGTACCCTTCCCCCTATCTAGGAACTAGAGTGCCTGTGGGAAGAATCCCAAAGGCTGAAAACAGGAAGGGGATAGAGAGGAGTAGGAGGAAAGGGAAAAGGGGGGATGGGATAGGGAAGGAGGGATTGTGGGGTAATTAGGTTTGGTCTGAGGAAGGAGACCAAAAGGTCTAATTCCTCAGACCAAGAGCCTCTTCACCGTGCCAAGGAGCCTCCCTTGAAGAGGTTGAATAGGTATACTCCTGAAGATATTTACATACTCATTTAACATGAGCAAATGAGCTACATAACCATCTCCAAACATGTCTACATCAAGAGAACATGGAGGTTAAAGTAGGGGTAAAATTCCTCTTTGTCGCTATTATAAACAAGAAAAATGTATAGTAAAACCCATAAGCATCATTACCTAACAGAATATCCACAGCTGTCTACTGTTCAACTATTTTTCTATTTTATTTTAGAATATTCACTAGAGAAGAGAGCCCCAGGTACCTCTGATCATAGTAGTCATTTAACTAGGTTAAAGGACTAGTGTCTCCAAAAACTTCTACAAGCAAGGAAAACAGTTTAAGATATGGTACAATTCTTTGTCACTGTTTTGCATATTTTATACTGTTATGATTGTGTATAAGTTTGTAATATTACCCTTTTCCATTTTCCCTTGGACAGAATATCATGCCATGCATCAAACACCAGCTTCTCCCAAGCCTCAGCAAGTTTATTTAGTAAGCTTAAATTCTTATTTAGGATATGGATACATAACATTTCTAGATCAACAAGCAATGGCTTTTACAAAAAAGTAGAAAACGTCTTTAAAAAATTTTTTTTTTTTTTTTTTTTTTGGTATTTATGGAGGTCCCAAGAATATAACCCTAGATTTTCCACATATTCTTAAATTTGCTAAATGCTTTATTTTTTAAGACAGTGCCATTTTCAGGAATGTAACTACGATCTTATTCAAGGGTCTACTGCAACTCTGCTGTGAAAATACTAAATAAATCCAGTAAGTGTCCCTGTATTACACCATATGGAAAAAATGTTGCAAATCCTACACCATCAGAAGATTTAGAACCATTGGTATACAGTAAATATAATAGTTATTTACAGACACTGAGAATCTGAAGTCATGTGAGGTAGCCCACTGAGATGCACAGTCAACTGCATACTGTAAGGGGCAAGACACCTGTCAGCACAAGCAACTGCAAAAATCATTACCTATGAAGAGGACCAAATTTCCTGAGGTAGTACTGAAGTTAGAGCCTGAATAGCTAATAAAAACAATGTCATGTCCTCCTGCCTATAGCTGGTCGACACTCCAACCTTTCTTGCAGCGAAATCCGGAAAATTACATTCAATTCCAAAACCAGTGACACTGAGGATGATAATAATACAGCATTTTTTCAGGTTTTGAAGGGGACAGCAATGGTAGTATGACCAGGAAAGAAGGAACTGCTAGTTCAACCCTAGATATAGCAGTGCCTTCCACCTTTGGTCTTGCCCATAAAGTGGATGCCAACAGCTTTTTACCCCTGATCTGGATAGTGACTGGAGTGATGACAGTGGAGAGGAATATATGTATGAGGATGAGAATGATGATTCCAGTAATAGTGATGCTGAATTTTCTCCTTTGAAATGAACACCATGCAGCATCGCACTAGGTTTAGCTCTCATTCGTGTGCTGTCTCATTGTTCTATGGTAAGACATTTAGAGAGCATGATACTGCTGTAGGAGACAGTGATTGTGACAATGATGGTGCTTTCATTGCTATCAGAAAATGACATGCAGCACCAACACCAGCTGTGACAACAACTGGTGTTGGTGCTGCTGGTTTGTGATTTCCTCAAGGTAAACAATAGACATGTACAGGACAGTGAGAGGAAACAGAAAACATATGCCATCATTCACTATAACTTTGGATACCAATGTGTGGGTATCTCATACCAATGACATGACAAAAAGAGAGGTAATAATGTTGACGACTGTACACAATCAACAACCTCAGATGAAGGAAACTAGAAGGGTTGACTGCCAAACAGATGAACCTATTGTGAGACCACTTATAGTCATTGACTACATTACCAATGTGTTTGGTAGATATAAATGTGACATGAAAAACTGGCTCTGTGGAAAGTGTCAGGATGAGCTTCAAGTGGTACATGAAATTATTTTTCCACCTATTGGATTTTTCTGTGCTAAATGCGCTTAATATGTTTCAGTGAAAATAATAACAAAATACAAACTATTTCCTTGTCTCAAACCACCTATGTTTAGTAGAGGAAAGATGACATAAAAAGAAAATCAAAAGTTTCTCTCTAAATTTAATAATGTATACAGTATGGGGGTTACTAGCCCCTTGCTCCCAGTATTTTATTTGCCTCTTATGACAACCACAGCCCACAAGGAAGAATTCTTTTCCACTTTCCCAATGATAACTAAATTTTATCAACAATAACAACAAAAGATCACATGTTTGAAATTTGTAATACTTTTCAGGTTAAAGCACACTAGGACAAACCTGTAGAACATTTGACTCGCTCTCCTCGCCTGTGATAACTTCAACGTGATCAAATTTCCGTTTCTGACTTTTCTCCTTCTCTGTCAGTTCCCGTGATGACTCTTCCAGGGACTGCCCACTTGTCCACGTACTTTCCTCACTTGGCTGGAAGATGAGATCACACATGAGACATTGCTGATAGTGAGGGGAAATAGGGCATCTGATCTCTGGTAAATGATGTTATAAAGCACTATTTATCCATATATATAAAATGACAGTCTTTTTTTTTTATTTTTTTCTGTTTTTTTTTTTTTTTCCACTTAACCCCTTCACTGTCAAGATCCCCAAATTCAAAATTATTGTGTCCAAATTAAAAAAAAAAATCATCTTCTAAAGGTAGTGATACCAAAGTTTGGAGACTTAAAGGAAAATTTACAGAATTACGCAGGCTCAAAAGTGGCAGTCTGGCAGTTTACACGTCAGCAATTTCATTCAATTTGAGTCCTATTTTAAGCCAATTACACTGTTCACTTTAATCAAATTCACAGCTATTTTCCTAATATGCCTTTTGTTTTTTGACTGAACACAAGAAACTGTCCATTCAATTATCAGAATTACACTTTTAAGTGGACAGAAGTTGGTAATTTGGCCAATTTTACACAAAATTAAAAAACTACCATTTAAACACAAAGTCCAAAATAAACTCTGTAGACATTCCAGGCACCAAAACATTTCTTCTGTTTATTAATCACATCCCCAGGCCTCTGCTATATTACATTACCTTCCATTTTGAATTCATCACCACAATTACTCCAATATGGAAAATGTGAGGAAATTAAAACTATATTGGAGTATAGAACAAATACCAACTACACAACAGAGTGAAAGAAAGAAGTGTAGAGGAGAGAGAGAGATTTTGGGAAATGTTGAGTGAATGCGTGGAGAGTTTTGAATCAAGTGTGAGAGTAATGGTGGTTGGGGATTTCAATGCTAAAGTGGGTAAAAATGTTATGGAGGGAGTAGTAGGTAAATTTGGGGTGCCAGGGGTAAATGTAAATGGGGAGCCTTTAATTGAGCTATGTGAAGAAACAGATTTGGTAATAAGTAATACATATTTTATGAAAAAGAGGATAGATAAATATACAAGGTATGATGTAGCACGTAATGAAAGTAGTTTGTTAGATTATGTATTGGTGGATACAAGTTTATAGAGGGGCAACTGATATATCGGATCATTATTTAGTTGTAGCTACAGTTAGAGTAAGAGGTAGATGGGAAAAGAGGAAGGTGGCAACAACAAGTAAGAGGGAGGTGAAAGTGTATAAACTAAGGGAGGAGGAAGTTAGGGGGAGATATAAGCGACTGTTGGCAGAAAGGTGGGCTAGTGCAAAGATGAGTAATGAGGGGGTTGAAGAGGGTTGGAATAGTTTTAAAAATGCAGTATTAGTATGTAGGGCAGAAGTTTGTGGTTATAGGAGGGTGGGGGCAGGTGGAAAGAGGAGTGATTGGTGGAATGATGAAGTAAAGGGTGTGATAAAAGAAAAAAAGTTAGCTTATGAGAGGTTTTTACAAAGCAGAAGTGTTATAAGAAGCAGAGTATATGGACAGTATAAGAAAAGTGGAGAGAGTGGTGAGAGAGTGCAAAAGGAGAGCAGATGATAGAGTGGGAGAGGCACTGTCAAGAAATTTTAATGAAAATAAGAAAAAATTTTGGAGTGAGTTAAACAAGTTAAGAAAGCCTAGGGAAAGTATGGATTTGTCAGTTAACCCTTTGAGGGTTTTCGTCGTACTAGTACGTTTTACGCGTAGGGGTTTTTGACGTACTAGTACTCATAAATTCTAGCGGCCTCAAATCTAGTGGGAGAAAGCTGGTAGGCCTTCATATGAAAGAATGGGTCTATGTGGTCAGTGTGCACAGTCTAAAAAAAATCCTGCAGCACACAGTGCATAATGAGAAAAAAAAAACTTTGACCATTTTTTTTTAATAAATCAGCGACTTTGCAGTGTATTTTCGTATGGTATTTATTGTTGTATTCTAGTTTTCTTGGTCTCATTTTATAGAATGGAAGACACATTACAGAAATTGAGATGATTTTGACTGGTTTTACAAAGAAAGGTGCCTTGAAATTGAGCTCAAAGTAGCAGAAATGTTCGATTTTTACCAAACTTCAAAAGTAAACAAATCGTGCCAAGCGTGCAATACACGTCAACTGGTGAGTCTAATATTCTTTCACAAGTGCACCAATAATATTTATACCATTTTTTACACTAATGCAGTAGTCTGCATAACAGTAAATCTTATATTTTTTGTGAAAATAAAAATTCAAAGTGGAAAGCAAAAGAATATAAGAGGGGACTTGAGACATGACTAATGACTAGAGGAAATGTCATTTTAGTGCCAGGAATGTCTTTCTTGTTTATTCTGGACCCTATTCCGAAATTGGCATCTTTTGAAATTTGTGTGAAATTGGCAAAATTGCTAAATTCTGACCACTGTACTGGATAGTTGAATTTCATAAATGAGTGGTTTCTTGCATCCATTCGATAGAAAAAATGGAGTTCTAGCGAAATATTCATGTTTTTTGTCGACTAGTACAGTGAAATTGGCCGAAAATGGGGCTCAAAGTGGGCAAAATCGCCGATGCGTAAACATCGCCGAGACCGCTAACTTTGCGAGAGCATAATTCCGTAAGTTTTCTATCAAATTTCAAACTTTTGGTGTCTTTATGATCGGGAAAAGATTCTCTATCTTTTCATAAGAGAAAATATTTTTTTTTTTTTTTAAATTTGGCCGACCCTGAGAACGAGTTTCGGAGAGGGCCTGTCGACCCTCAAAGGGTTAAAAACAGAGTAGGGGAGTTAGTAGATGGGGAGAGGGAGGTATTAGGTAGATGGCGAGAATATTTTGAGGAATTTTTAATGTTGAGGAAGAAAGGGAGGTGGTAATTTCATGAACTGGTCAGGGAGGTATACCATCTTTTAGGAGTGAAGAAGAGCAGAATGTAAGTGTGGGGGAGGTACGTGAGGCATTACGTAGAATGAAAGGGGGTAAAGCAGCTGGAACTGATGGGATCATGACAGAAATGTTAAAAGCAGGGGGGGGGATATAGTGTTGGAGTGGTTGGTACTTTTGTTTAATAAATGTATGAAAGAGGGGAAGGTACCTAGGGATTGGCAGAGAGCATGTATAGTCCCTTTATATAAAGGGAAAGGGGATAAAAGAGATTGTAAAAATTATAGAGGAATAAGTTTATTGAGTATACCAGGAAAAGTATATGGTAGGGTTATAATTGAAAGAATTAGAGGTAAGACAGAATGTAGGATTGCGGATGAGCAAGGTGGTTTCAGAGTGGGTAGGGGATGTGTAGATCAAGTGTTTACATTGAAGCATATATGTGAACAGTATTTAGATAAAGGTAGGGAAGTTTTTATTGCATTTATGGATTTAGAAAAGGCATATGATAGAGTGGATAGGGGAGCAATGTGGCAGATGTTGCAAGTATATGGAATAGGTAGTAAGTTACTAAATGCTGTAAAGAGTTTTTATGAGGATAGTGAGGCTCAGGTTAGGGTGTGTAGAAGAGAGGGAGACTACTTCCCGGTAAAAGTAGGTCTTCGACAGGGATGTGTAATGTCACCATGGTTGTTTAATATATTTATAGATGGGGTTGTAAAAGAAGTAAATGCTAGGGTGTTCGGGAGAGGGGTGGGATTAAATTATGGGGAATCAAATTCAAAATGGGAATTAACACAGTTACTTTTTGCTGATGATACTGTGCTTATGGGAGATTCTAAAGAAAAATTGCAAAGGTTAGTGGATGAGTTTGGGAATGTGTGTTAAGGTAGAAAGTTGAAAGTGAACATAGAAAAGAGTAAGGTGATGAGGGTATCAAATGATTTAGATAAAGAAAAATTGGATATCAAATTGGGGAGGAGGAGTATGGAAGAAGTAAATGTTTTCAGATACTTGGGAGTTGACGTGTCGGCGGATAGATTTATGAAGGATGAGGTTAATCATAGAATTGATGAGGGAAAAAAAGGTGAGTGGTGCATTGAGGTATATGTGGAGTCAAAAAACGTTATCTATGGAGGCAAAGAAGGGAATGTATGAAAGTATAGTAGTACCAACACTCTTACATGGGTCTGAAGCTTGGGTGGTAAATACAGCAGCGAGGAGACGATTGGAGGCAGTGGAGATGTCCTGTTTAAGGGCAATGTGTGGTGTAAATATTATGCAGAAAATTCGGAGTGTGGAAATTAGGAAAATGTGTGGAGTTAATAAAAGTATTAGTCAGAGGGCAGAAGAGGGGTTGTTGAGGTGGTTTGGTCATTTAGAGAGAATGGATCAAAGTAGAATGACATGGAAAGCATATAAATCTATAGGGGAAGGAAGGCGAGGTAGGGGTCGTCCTCGAAAGGGTTGGAGAGAGGGGGTAAAGGAGGTTTTGTGGGCAAGGGGCTTAGACTTCCAGCAAGCGTGCGTGAGCGTGTTAGATAGGAGTGAATGGAGACGAATGGTACTTGGGACCTGACGATCTGTTGGAGTGTGAGCAGGGTAATATTTAGTGAAGGGATTCAGGGAAACCGGTTATTTTCATATAGTCGGACTTGAGTCCTGGAAATGGGAAGTACAATGCCTGCACTTTAAAGGAGGGGTTTGGGATATTGGCAGTTTGGAGGGATATGTTGTGTATCTTTATATGTATATGTTTCTAAACTGTTGTATTCTGAGCACCTCTGCAAAAACAGTGATTATGTGTGAGTGTGGTGAAAGTGTTGAATGATGATGAAAGCATTTTCTTTTTGGGGATTTTCTTTCTTTTTTGGGTCACCCTGCCTCGGTGGGAGACGGCCAACTTGTCGAGAGAAAAAAAAAAAAAAAAAAAAATAAGGATACTCAGATGGTGATAGAGATGAGCATTTTGCTGCAATTGTAACAATAGCAACAGACTATCAATTGTTTACAAATCAACTTACCCAGCAAATTTTGACTCTGTTTCAGCTGTCTGTCACATCAAGGATTTATTGTAATGATAATTACATTTTGAATGTACTGGATATATGATACTGAACACTTTTTTTTTTTTTAACACTGGTTACTTCCCACTAAGGCAGGATGACCCAAAACAAGGAAAAAATATAAAAATCTCCTAGTTTAGTGTAACTGCGTAAAAAACAGGCTTAAAAGTTCATTGTGACCAACATTTTAGTTTTCTACAATGCACATGACTAATGGGGAAGAATTCAAACCCATTTTTCTATGGTAACTAACAATAAATGTAGAATTCATTTCATACTGTATATTTTAAAATAGATACAGAAAATAACATGTGGAGTAAATGTATAATGAAAAACCAAGAGAATTTCATGGATGAAAGCTGAATTACATGTGCAGAACACGAAGCCAGAGTAATTTCCTTACCAAAGAAATTTCCGAGGCAGCATCTGTGAACAGGTTTCCAGTAACTGGTCTGCCATTTGTAGTGGCAGAGCTGCTGGCAGAATCTGTGGGCTATTGGTGCATGATTAAAAACTCTATATGAATTTTACTCCATTCACAACTGCAAAAATTCAAACACAATGCACATGAAGGAAAAATATAAACTAATTACTTCCTATTATTTTATTTTGCATAGCAATATAGGTCTAGAGTTTTAAGTTTCATTTTTATATTCTGTACAGCAAACTGTTGGTGTTCCTAATATAAAACTGACAGTACAGTGTTTCTTTCGTTTTTGCGTCACCCTGCCTCCGTGGGAGAGGGCCAGCATGCTGAATACAGGGGGATCTCCTGCTTATACAACAGGTTAGGTTCCAAGCTACCTTTGTAAAAGTGAAAATCGTTGTAACGTGAATCATAGCCTTTTTTTTACTTTCCAATGCCTATAAAAGCATGTAGGCTCTTACATGCATTTTATATGAAGTGTGGGGGAGGTGCGCAAGGCATTATGTATTATGAAAGGGGTAAAGCAGCTGGAACTGATGGGATCAAGACAGAAATGTTAAAAGCAGGGGAGGTTATATAGTGTTGAGTGGTTGGTATTTTGCTTCAAGCATGTGTGAGCGTGTTAGATATGAGTGAATGGAGACGAATGGTTTTTGAGACCCGACAAGCTGTCAGTGTGTGAGCAGGGTAATATTTTGTTAAGGGATTCAGGGAAACTGGTCAGCCAGACTTGAGTCCTGGAAGTGGGAAATACAATGCCTGCACTTTACAGGAGGGGTTTGGGATATTGGCAGTTTGGAGGGACATCTAAACTGTCGTATCTGAGCACCCCTGCAATTATGGTGATTATGTGTTAGTCAGGGTGAAAGTGCTGAATGATGAAAATTTTTTCTTTCTTTTTGGGTCACCCTGCCTTGATGGAAAACAGCCATGTTAAAAAAAATAATAATAAAAGCCTGATTATATTAGGCCTAAAAAAATGCATATACAGTACACACATTACTTGCCTTAAAATATTTTCATCCTTAGCTTACAGTGAGTTGTGAATACATTTATTGTAAGAAGTCTGAATAAATGAAGAATGGGATGTAAACAGAGTGGAGCATAAACACCATAATAGCAAATTACAGGGGGAGCTGTATAAACGAATTTTGGTCATAATTTGAAATGTCTGTATTAGCAAATCACTGTAAAGCGGGGCCCTACTATATTTAATTCATTTCGTGTTAATGACTGCACAAAAATTTGAAAAATTTTTAACTCTTTCAATTCAAAGTAGAACCTACATACGTAACAAGCTGCACAACAAGCACGTACCTAAGTGCATTTCTAGTGAGGTTTTTATTCTGCCACCTTAACTGGATATTTAAATTTTTCTTGTATTACTCAGTTAGCCAGTATCTACTGTGACTCCACAAAAGAGAACTTACCCATGAAACTTCACTGGCAGCTTCAGAAAAAAGGTTGCCAGTTTGTTTCTCTCCATTGGTGGCCCCCGCTGCATCAGAAGAGGATGTGACTGAACTTTCTGCACCCTGGGGAAGCAACAAAGCAGTCAAAGTTATACATTATATGTATAGATATATGGACATGCAAAAGAAGATAAAAGAACAAGAATAAATTGCAGTCGTGTATTAAAGCTCAAGAAAAATAGCAAAGGGCTTTATGGAATTGAAGGATTCAAGCTTAGAGACCAATGAAACTAGATGAAATCTAAAGGAGTTTTTTTTCCACAGAGAAAATGATGAGCCACATTGAAATGAAGAGGATAAAGAAAGCTAGCGACTTCATTCGTATTTTAAGAATATAAGCTGGAAGGTTTAATAAAAATTTGGGGATAAAAGGTGAAGGGTTCAATCAGTCTCAACATAAAAGCAGAGGGTTCAAATACAATCACTACAGATAAAACCTAAGTTTTGTAAAAATCTGTGACAAAAAACTTGGCCTTAAAAGGAATCTAATGGTAAATGTTAGGATGCAATTGTAATATTTAAACAATTCTCTCATAATCATGCTATACTGCCTAATTTTTTTTTACAACATTCTCCACTATACACATATACCTAACTATACCAATTACGAAACAATGCATTGCATTCATAGCAGTGGCTGGTGTAATCACCTCATAAATATCCTAAATACAGCAAGTCTGATGAAATGGACCTCCATAAAGCGATGTCTGACAAAGCAGACAAAAAAATGTGGCCAGACAAAGGCTCAACACGTACAATGAATGGGATGTCCAATTAATATTGCCACGAAGACCAAATCTGCTATACTGAATGGCTATCCAGTTCGATCATACACTCAATAAAATGGACCAATTTCACTTAATAGCAAGTTTGTATGGTCCAGGCTTTGTCTAGGACTTGTCCATTTTCTCTGTGGTGGTAGAGACAAGCTTGTGTCCAACTGGAAATTATAGTGCCAGAAAAAATGATTGTTTGCAAGAAGTGCAGAAAGGGCAAGGCAGGCAGCTAGCCAGCCAGCTAGCTTGTTAAAGAACTGTCGACTCAGTATTTACATCCTTATTGTTGAAATCTTCCGTGTCTGGTACATGTACATGACTCACAAAATCGTAATGACACGATTGCAAACAAACCATACCCTGGCCGGGATTGAACCCGCGGTCAGAGAGTCTCAAAACTCCAGCCTGTCGCGTTAGCCACTAGACCAACTAGCCACAATCCGAATCTTATTGTGGCTAGTGGCTAACGCGACGGGCTGGAGTTTTGAGACTCTCTGACCGCGGGTTCAATCCCGGCCGGGGTATGGTTTGTTTGCAATCGTATCATTACGATTTCATGAGTCATGTTGACGGCAGTGAAGGGACTTGAGCTAGAGTTCATCACGGCCATGCTAGCTGGAGATTCGTCTGTAAAAACTTGCATTTGTGGTCACAGTGGTGCCTGTGCTAACCTTCCTATGGTGTAGAAATATACCTAGTTGGACGAATCTTATTGTGGCTAGCTGGTCTAGTGGCTAACGCGACGGGCTGGAGTTTTGAGACTCTCTGACCGCGGGTTCAATCCCGGCCGGGGTATGGTTTGGTACATGTACAATTTGTCTCTGTAGGTCACATCAGACAGTATGCATGCCTCCCTCCCTCTACCCCTCCTTCCCATTCCCAACACACCCTTCATCATCACTCCATTTATATGACAGGCAAGCAGGCAGACTTTAAATATTTCCATTAAGATAAGAGAGTGAGTGAGGTAATGTCTCTTAGCTTATAAATAAAGTTAGGAACCCTTAACCAAACCCTGTAAAACCCTGTAAAATGAGAGAGAATATATATCAAAGCATGCTTGCATTAGTTTTTTTCTTTGTATATCCAGCTGTGCCATCAATACGGTGGACTAAATGTTTTGTTGGGCATTTGTCCATGTCCAGTAGTCAATCAATTAAGCAGACTACATCCGCTTAATTGAAATGTTCATTGTATATAACTAAATTTTTGGTAAATCGGACCCCTCTTTTCCGTATTAGTCCATTTTATCAGGCTTTAACTGTATCTGGGAATCAATCTACCATTGTTTAGTTTGGATTATACTATGTATGTCTCATTAATACATGAAAAAAAAAAAAAAAAAAAAAAAAAAAAAAAAAAAAAAAAAAAAAAAATACTGCTACTACTCAGCAAATTGAGCTAAAGAGTTTATATGCTATTGTATACCCAATTCAATGGTATATACTGTTGTGTATTCAGCCACTGTCTTGAAATTAATTTTTTTCATTAGAATGCTTTGCCATTTTTTTGCTTTTCTGAATAATGAAATCCACTTGAGACTTACCTTTTTTGATGCCTGGCATATCACATTTCATATTATTTCTGAACTAATATTTCTTTACGTATTCTTACCTGATTTCCTATACTAACACCACTTTTTTTTTTATTTTTTTTTTTTTAAATTTTGACCTTTTTGTCTTTTTATGTTAATGATTTCTCTTCAAGTCATCACTTTATACTAAACGTTGCACTTGTTAGACCAACCCTCTGTCTATAGACTTCATGTGCCATACATTTTTAACTATTACTATATTTTACATTCTCTACTAGAATTAGCGAATGAATTTTTTATCATACTACATATTGAACACTGACCTAGGGAAAATTCACCAATATTTTCTGTATTAAAAGTGAAAAAGAAAATAAAGAAGCTAGATTTTTGAGTAGGTACCCCATGTTAAAAAATTATTTCCTGCTATGATACTTCACTACTTAAGAGAGAGGAGAGACAAGTTTTCAAGTATATGAAGATTGAGACACTTATGCAACATATGGGAATCTTTATTCAGGAAACGTTTCGCCACACAGTGGCTTCATCAGTCCAATACAAAGCAGAAGGTGTAAGGAGAGGAGGAGTTTGAGGTAATCAGTCCCTCAGCCTGGAGTCGATGTGTTCAATCCATCAATATTGTAGAATGTACAGCATAGGGCCGAAGACGTGGCTTATATACTGTAGTCAGGTGAGGCGAAGCAGGAGGAGGCAGGGTCATAGTGGTATCATCCACTAGTCGAAGTAGGTCTTCGTCCAAAGGTTGGACAAGTGTTGAAGAATACTTTGTAACAAGACCCCATGGTGCTGCAGTGTCTGACAGTTGTGATGAATGGTTTGAAAAACTGACAAGTCTCAATCTTCAACTTGTCGGTTTTTCAAACCATTCATCAGAACTGTCAGACACTGCAGCACCATGGAGTCTTGTTACAAAGTATTCTTCAACACTTGTCCAACCTTCGGACGAAGACCTACTTTGACTAGTGGATGATACCACTATGACCCCGCCGCCTCCTGCTTCGCCTCACCTGACTACAGTATATAAGCCACATCTTCGGCCCTATGCTGTACATTCTACAAGATTGATGGATTGAACACATCGACTCCAGGCTGAGGGACTGATTACCTCAAACTCCTCCTCTCCTTACACCTTCTGCTTTGTATTGGACTGATGAAGCCACTGTGTGGCAAAATGTTTCCTGAATAAAGATTCCCATATATTGCATAAGTGTCTCAATCTTCAACTTGTCGGTTTTTCAAACCATTCATCACAACTTTTCAACTACAGTGGTCCCTCACTTTTCGTAGTTCTCGGCAATCGTAAATTTCGCCAATCATAGGGGTATTTTCGTATAAACATGGACTCGCTTTTCATAGGTTGACTCGCGAATAGTAGTTCATCCGGGACGCGTACGCACGGTGTGAGCCAAGGCGGCCTCCCTACCCAGCCAGTCTGGCATTGTTTACCAGTGAGTGAAGGTCCCCTCAAGTGCTCCTATGAAATATTTCATAATATTCCACTCATTTTAGTGCTTGCAAGTACTAAATAAGCTATCATGGCTCCAAAGAAAGCTCCTAGTGCCAAGCCTGTGGTAAAGAAGGTGAGAAATATGTAGTGACAAAGTCTTGGGCCATTTTAGGGAAGTGTTAAAGAGACGCCAGAAACAGAGCTCTCTCCACAGTTACTTTGCGAGACAGGACTAGAGTGACTCTCAAGGTGGTCCTAGTGGCATTAAGAAACAGAGAAGAGAAGCAACCCCAGAGAAGCAATTAGTACCTGAGGTGTTGCTGGAAGGGGATTCCCCTTCCAAACTGTAAACAATCCAATCTCTCTCCTCCTCCAGTCTCCCATACACTAAGAATCTCCAATAAAGGTAAGTGTTATGCTGTTAATGTTTCATTCATCATTTCCCATTGTATTGTTTATGTACTACATGTATATTTTTTTTTGGGTCACCCTGCCTCGGTGGGAGACGGCCGACTTGTTGAAAAAACAAAAAAAAAAAAGTATATTTCATGTAAAAAATTTTTTTTGTTTTAATACTTCTGGGTGTCAGGAACGGATTAATTGTATTTACATTATTTCTTATGGGGAAAATTGATTCCCAAATCGTAAATTTCGTTTATTGTAGCTCCTCCAGGAACGGATTAATTACGAAAAACGAGGGACCACTGTACATGTATATATAGAAAAAACTTAAGAACCAAGAGGGTTACTGGTAAAAGCCTTAATTAATGCTTTCTACCCCATCCTATATGCATGAAACACCTTCAATACACTGTACATGAATGTGAGAGAGAGAGAAAAAAAAAAAAAAAGAAGGGAGAGAGAAAACCAAAAAAATCACTTCAGTATTTACACAGCTATGATAAAGATGAGTATACAGGTAGGCCCTGCTTATACAACAACCTTTTCTCACTTCCAAATGCATAATAAAGCCTGATAATATGTTTGCACTATCATATATTAAGTGAGCAATAGAGCTAGGCCTATAAAAAAGGCATATACAGTATACACATTACTTACTTTAAAATATTTTCATCATTAGCTTATAGAGAATGGTGAATATATTTATTGTGAAGCTTGGGTGGTAAATGCAGCAGCGAGGAGACGGTTGGAGGCAGTGGAGATGTCCTGTCTAAGGGCAATGTGTGGTGTAAATATTATGCAGAAAATTCGGAGTGTGGAAATTAGGAGAAGGTGTGGAGTTAATAAAAGCATTAGTCAGAGGGCAGAAGAGGGGTTGTTGAGGTGGTTTGGTCATTTAGAGAGAATGGATCAAAGTAGAATGACATGGAAAGCATATAAATCTATAGGGGAAGGAAAGAGGGGTAGGGGTCGTCCTCGAAAGGGTTGGAAAGAGGGGGTAAAAGAGGTTTTGTGGGCGAGGGGCTTGGACTTTCCAGCAAGCGTGCATGAGCGTGTTAGATAGGAGTGAATGGAGACGAATGGTACTTGGGACCTGACGATCTGTTGGATCGTGAGCAGGGTAATATTTAGTGAAGGGATTCAGGGAAACCGGTTATTTTCATATAGTCGGACTTAGAGTCCTGGAAATGGGAAGTACAATGCCTGCACTTTAAAAGAGGGGTTTGGGATATTGGCAGTTTGGAGGGATATGTTGTGTATTTTTATACGTATATGCTTCTAAACTGTTGTATTCTGAGCACCTCTGCAAAAGCAGTGATAATGTGTGAGTGTGGTGAAAGTGTTGAATGATGATGAAAGTATTTTCTTTTTGGGGATTTTCTTTCTTTTTTGGGTCACCCTGCCTCGGTGGGAGACGACCGACTTGTTGAAAAAAAAAAAAAAAAAATTATTGTATTAAGTCTGAATAAATGAAGGATGGGTATAACTGAAAAATCGCTGCATTAGCAAAATGCTGTAAAGTGGGGCCTGCCTGTACTAACTTACTAGTCACAGCATTCAGGATATATACAATAAGCTGTTTGATCAGTGTGTACTGTATCTTAATTGAATGAAAATATGGCTTATGACATGAATAACTATACTGACTTACTACCCACAAAGTTCAAGCTGTATACATGTATGATGCACATATCTGCTAACTTTCTGGCTGTTAACTGTAACTTACTACACTAAAGCTACCAAGCTAACTATGGCAGCAAAATCTTAAAATAGTTCATTTTAGCTGTCTGTTTTGGAGTTTACATAATGACTATTCTGATTTTTTACACATACTAAAACTTAAATATTTCTCCCTTCTATTTCTCATTAACATGGGTGAAACAAGTGCACCAAGCCAGGAGGCTTCAGGACCTAGAACCCCTTTCAGTCGCCTCTTACGACACGCAGGGAATACGGAGGATCTATTCTATAAAGGCCCAATCCCCAAAGCCAAAATCATAGGCATATATAAACCTCAAAATAATAAGCCAAAACTGATATTGTAATTAGTTTGCAAACAAAACTTTCATTACAACCCCGTATAAATTCTTACAAACACACTACACAATGTGAATACATGTCTTAAATACTTGTTGCTATTATTTGTGTCTTACAAATACACTACTGTACTTTCTTTGTAAATGCTTATAAAGATTTACATATACATTACTGACCTTGCAATTTTTTTTTTTACAATCATATGACATGTACTTTCCTTGCAAATCTTTAGCATTAATGAGATATTAAAACTTCTTAAAAAACTGAACTGTTCTTAACATAGTCAAGCTAATATAAAGATATGTTACAGCAACATAGTAATTAGGGAACCTTATTCTATTAGTTCAGTCATGGGTCTGAGAGATGGAAACTTATTTTCACACCAAAAATCAAATCTACTGAAGGTTCCTCATAAGTCATGTTAATCCTCTCACACTGAATCCAGTACTATATTCCAGGGTTTGTATAAACTCCCTGTGATAAACACTACTTCCTTGGGAAGTTGCTCCTTCACACATAGGCCTCTTAATTCTTTGGGAAATCCCATTATACATATATTAATACTGATGGAAAGTTTTCTTTGCTATAATATTGAAATGGGTGCTCAAGGTGCTGATAACTCACTGCTTGTTATACAAAGAATAGAATGGTGCACTACTCACAGCAACTTTAGACTGCAGGTTCTGCCCAAAGATGAAGTTGTTGCTACCTAGGTTGGGACTTGCGGAGCTGCCGGGAGAAGTTTGCACCTTTAAAATCTTAACGCACGATGTGCTTTACCAATACTGTACTACGAGATATGCCCTATTCACATTATAATTCTCCTTCAAAGATTCTTGATAAATTTGACTCCAATTACCATTCATAACTAATAATACTGTATATAAAAAAAAACTATGCAATTTCTCTGGCTTGTTTAATCTAATTTTTGATCACAGTCTAGCTACAGTAAACTAACACTACCTATTACATATATAAAAAAAAAACCTTAATAAGTTAAAATTCACTGTGATTTATGAACCCCTTACCTATCTTTACCATCTCCATTGCGTGCGAGGGGAAGAAACAGCTTTCTTGAATTACTGTTAGAGTTGTTGCTGGAAGTGCTACTGTCCTCACTACTGTTTGTATGAATTTCAACTGATACAGACCGAGCTCCTCTTCTTTCTTCTTTCATTCCAGAAGGCGTTGCTCGAGGAATGTGCGAAGACGTTACTGGGGTTGAAGAGGAGACATCTTGGCCAGAGGTTTGAAATGCTGCAGGTTCAGGAGCTGTTCTTGAAACTCTTTCCTCTGATCCACTGGCTGAGTCTGCTTTGTCTCCAGTATCAACTGGTGCTATAATAGATAGAAACAGTCCGAGTCAAGATTTTGGTAAAAGGTTCTGCACAATATTAGCACACCTCTTCATGCACCATATACATTACCTTACTATTGGTTAACTTTACTATCTACTTATATTAGCCATATTTCAATTCCCTAATATGACTTTGTAAGGCAAATGTATGTGTTTTGTCATCTCATTTCAGTTTGCTGTTAATTTACTTATAGCTAAGTAAACCTATTTTCACATTCTTATCTTAATGATTTCCCAAATCTTAACTGGCTTATAATAATTAATTATTTTTTTAAGTTATCTTAAATTTTAAACACGCTAGGAAAAAATGTAAATTATTTCGTAAAATTTTTTCATTAGTTCTTATTACAGTCCCAGTACATTAGTCTATGCACAACAATTATTTGGAACAAAACTATGTAAAGAGAAATTAGATCTTCAAATCATTAGTTTTAAAAATCTTAATAAAAACAATAATAATGGTAATGGCAACAACTATGATGCTGAAGGGAGTACAGAATCTCTGAAATACTTTTCCTGAAATAGCCACATGATTGTAGTCATCCAAATTATTAGCAAAATCTGAGCAATATACATAACAAGTTTTAAGAAACAATAATTTGTACACACTTTTTGAAAATGGATTAGAAGATCCCAACACTGATGGCTTCAGTTTAAACTCAGACTTGCTTGACTGTGGTGGGGACGAGCCAGTGACAGTTAAGGTTGGGGGCATGAAGAGACTAGGTGTGCCTCTAATGGAGCTAACTACTCTGCTAGAACCTAAGGGTGACGGTCGAATAACTGGTGGTCCACCTGTTGAGAAAAATTCCTGGTATAAAGAGGGCTGAACTAATGTGAATTCTCTCGAACTATTTCAATAAGTTATCTTTTATCATTATACAAATGGTATATAATACTAACAAGTAGATAAGCAAGACACATGAAATAAGTATCTTTATTCTGAAACTTTTTGCCTAAACAGTAGGCTCCATCAGTCGAATACAGAGGTGGCAAATATGGAGACATCAGAAGTAGTGGAGAGGAAAAGATGACGTTATCAGTCCCTCAGTTTGGAGATGTGTTCAACTTTATAGTCTTGAACATGAAGCTTAAGCATGATACTGGAACCTTTTATTGATGTTTATCTGACATCAACACAACAGTATCTTTGTACAGAGGACATCATCTACACCTTCACAGTTCAACCATTAGCTATGAGTGAGAAGAATTGTATTTGAGTCAGTACACTTGCTGCAGTGCCCCTCAATTCTAATGTTCTTACTTCCACTGTAGGTCCCACTCCCTGTGACATCATCTCCATTCTCCATGCTTCACCTCTGACATTTAAAAAGGCTCCATTCCCATGCTTCTGCTTCACAATGATTGAGATTATGAACTTGGAAACATTTTCAGGCTGAAGGACTGACCACTTCATGCAACCTCCTCAAGGTTCACAGACTGATCACATCATCTTTACCTCTCCACTGCTGATGCTTCCATATCTGTCACCTCTGTATCTGACTGATGAAGCCTACTGTGCAAGCAAATGTTTTGCAATATAGATACCTAAATGATGCATGTGTCTCTTATTTATTACCTTTAATCTGGAGGAAGAGAGTAGAGGTATTTCAAAATATACAAAGCACTGGATAGAATATGTCATTCAGCACTTTGTCAATATCAGTGTACACTCATGCATGCATGCACACGCATGTGTACACAAAAAATGATAACACTTGCAAAAGAAAATACACACACACACACACACACACAGCAGACTTCACTCAATGGGGAAAGAACTAGGGGTAAGCATAGTGCCTGGTATATCACTAGAGACTTACGCCAGTCAAATAGCTTCTGCAGGCCAATGATTATTGAACAAATCTAAAAGCAGCCATCAGGAATCTCAACAACGAGTCATTCTAGGACCCTTATACAAAATACACCAAGCCCATCTTAAGTATCCAGAACCTATGTGGAAGCTGCACTGGACAAAGTATGTTAAAAAACTAGAGAAAATGCCAAAATATGAACTGAATCTAATGACACTGAGGGAAAAACAACCATAACATACAAAATACTCAGGGAAATTGGTAGGGTAGACAGGGACAGACTGTTTGAGAAGAGAAACAGGAACTTGGAGGCACAGCTATAAGTTAAAGACACAGATGTCAGGAAGTATTTCCTCAGTCTCAGAGTGGTCGGGAAATGGAATGATCTCGATGAGGCAGGCTCCATACATAGTTTTAAAAACAGGTACAATAGGGCCCATGAGACTAAGGGAGTGAATCTGGCAAGGTAAAAGGCTGGGTCAGGAGTTGAGAATCTGGCAAAGTATAGGGCTGGATCAGGAGATGAGAACCTGGCAAGGTAAAAGGCTGGGTCAGGAGTTGAGAATCAACACCTGCAACCAGATACAGTAAACCCTCCAAATAATAGACCTCTATACAATGTACTTTGGAAATACAGAACAAAATCGGCTAGGACAATTGATATGCAAACGAGGAACAGTGTTGGTTACAGAATTATCCATTATTGTCACAAGAAAAACATTATTCTATCCACCACAACTGCCATTACCAACTGGCCTATTTCTCCCATTAGGCCATTACAGGGAGGGTTTACTGTAGGTAGGTAGGGCATGCATGCACATGTATGCGTGCATGTGCGTGTTTACCTATTTGTGGTTACAGGGGTCGAGTCACAGCTCCTGGTTCCACCTTTTCGCTGGTCGCCACTTATTACCATAATATCGCCTAATATAGTCACCCCCTACCCTCCAAAATTTACCCACTACCCACATGCCGCAAGCCTCAGTTTCTATAAATACATCTCGCATATTACTGTCACCAGTGCAGAGAAAGGTAAAGTGGAAATCAGTTTTTTGGTGGCATACAGAGTGAAGTAGGATACGGGCACGATGTCAGTACAGCATACCTGTAGGACATGTAAAAAAAATCCTTGGATGGATCACATGCAACCTGTGCTTTTCCAAGCATCATAACTCTTGTGCAAGAATAAACACTGCCTCAGAAAATGACCTCGAACTAGCAAGGTGCTTCTGGTTGTACAATAAAGATATAGAACTTTGGCCAGGTATCAGAAAGGTACTAAGGAGGGTAATAAATAATTAAAATAAGCAAAAAAATAAAGATGAACTCTTGGACAGTCTACCAAAGATTTATAAAACATGGGAGGAAGAGACAGGAATAGTGAACCAAAAAATGCAGAATGCTCATACCACAACAGATGACTTGAAACTATATAGTCACCCACTGAAAAAAAACACAGGAAACAAAAATGTCAGTTAACCCAACCCCCTCACACATAGTGTTAACCCAGACCCATTCCCCAGTCCTAGTGCTACTGCCCACAGCACTGGTGCTAGCCCAGGCTCAGCCCCCAGTGCCAGTCCAGTCACCACTAAAACCTTAAATATACAACCATCATTCCACATGACCATAGCCCACATTACAAATGTAGTGGAGGAGGAGTTGTCTTCTTCTGGAAAAGTAGTTCTGTTCCCCAGAAGCAGGACAGGGTGGTCCTGGCTTGGATACTGAAAATTATAGTGCAGTCCTAGAAACTGCACAAATTGAGAACACACCTACCAAAACTTATACCCAACCAAAAGTGAAATTGTGCAAATTCTTTGTTTGATGCCCCTGTAAGCATGGAATATCAGGAAAAACAAATGGGACATGAAACTTTGAGCATCCCAAAAAATGTCATGACCTTCTGTCTAAAGGAGTGTGTTGTTCTCCCTCCTGTAAATTCTTTCACCCAGAAATGTGCCACTCTTTGGTCCTCCAAAAACAGTGCTACAACAACAGCTGCACTGCATATCATCTAAAAAGAACCAGGAGGTACAAACCTCATAAGACAAACAACAGTAGTCACGACAACCCCACTCCAAAGTGATTTTTTAGTGGCAGGATACGTAAAAAGAAAATGGAAAAAAGTAAAATTAGTCTACCACCTTGCAGCCTTATTGGACTGGAGACACAGCCACTGTCCCCCCATGGCCCTCCAGAACCACAACTACTGATGCCAATAACAAAATCCCCCCAACAAACACAGACTACAACCTCGTTTATATTTGCTAATACACAGGGCCTTAAGCCATTCACCAACAACAAATACCTTTTATCAGTGGACTTCTAGAGGAGTCAAATGCAATGTTTGCAGCCTTCACAGAGACCCACACAAAAGATCACTTTGACAATGAAATATGGATAAATACGTACAGCATTTTTAGATGTGACAGAAAGAACAGACAACAAGGGAGGTTGGCCTGTATATCAAAGAATCGCTCATCTGCACGGAGATGCTGAACATCACAAATGATGTTCAAGTTCTAACAATAAAGATCGAGAACCAAAACCTAGTCATTATGGTTGTATATAAGCCACCAGATGCAACCTCCCAACAGTTCAAGGAACAGCTACTGAAAATTGAGTATTCTCTGGAAAGCCTTCCAGTTCCATCCCCAAACATCTTACTGCTTGGTGATTTCAACCTAAGGCATACAAAATGGAAGTGTAGCAAATAATGTTATAGTAGAAACAATCCCTGGAGGCAGCACAGATGAAAGGTCACATACACACATGAGCTACTAAATCTCGGCAATAAACACACCCTTAGTCAGCAGATAGTGGAGCCAACAAGACTGGAAAACACACTTGACCTTATCTTTACAAATAAAGAGGACCTGGTAAGAGACATAACAATATCAAAAACAACTAATTCCAATCACAATCTAATCAAAGTTCAGACTTACATGTACAGGGGTCCTGATCAGCAAAATGCACGTAGCTGTGAAGGTGTCTTCATCAAATATAACTTCAACAAAAGGAATATTAATTGGGACTAGGTGAACCATATCTTCAATGAAACATGTTGAGAAGATATCTTAAATAACCTGGATCCAAACCAGTGTCTTGAAAGGATCAACTTCCTGGCAGCTGAAGTATGTTCAAAGCATATGCCCCTAAGAAAGAAGAAGAAAAGAAGTAAACTGGAGAGAGAAAGACATTCCCTTTACAGAAGACAACGAGGAATCACTGAGCTCCTCAAGAATGCTAAATTGTTTGATACATGAAGGAGGCACTGACCAGGGAAGTGGAAAGTATCAAACTTAAGTTAAAGGACTCATACAGTACAGTACCTAGGAGAGACAGGAAGAGCTAAAAGCGATTAGTGAAACTGAAAGAATTTCGAAATATTTCTTTTCATATGCCAAACACAAGACAAATACCACATCTAATATCAGGCCCTTGCTCAGAAAAGATGGGACTTACACAGATGACAACAAAGAAATGAGTGAGATACTGAAATCCCAATATGACTCTGTGTTTAGTGAGCCACTAATCAGTCTAAAGGTTGACAATTCAAATTATTTTTTCATAACTTAGCCTCAAAACTCCATCAATGTATGCCAGATTTCTGACATTACCCTAACTCCAATAGACTTGGATAAAGCCATTGACAACATGCCAATGCACTCAGCCCCAGGCCCTGACTTGTGGAACTCTATGTTCATTAACCCTTTGACTGTTTCAGGCCCCTTTCTGAAACTGTCATTCTATGTCGCTAAATTTTTGAAGAAAAAAAAAAAAAATTTTTTCTTATGAAATGATAAGAGAATCTTTTCCCGATGGTAATGACACCAAAAGTTCGAAATTTGGTCGAAAACTCATGGAATTACGCTCCCACGAAGTTAGCGGTCTTGGCGACATACGCGTATCGGCGATTTCGCCGACTTTGAGCCCTATTTTCAGCCAATTCCGTTATTCCAGTTGACCAAACTCATAGCTATTTCTTTAGAACTCCATTTTATCTATCAGCTGAGTACAAGAAACCTCCCATTTACCAATTTAGACTACCCAATATTGTGGTCAGAAATTGGCAATTTGGCCAATTTCACACAAATTAAAAAAGATGCCAATTTCACAAACTAAAAAAGATGCCAATTTCAAAATAGGGTCCAGAATAAACAAGGTAGACATTCTTGGCACTAAAATAACATATCCTCTGTTCATTAGTCACATCTCTAGGCCCCTCTTATATTATTGATTTTTATTTTGATTTTTTATTCATACAAAAAAATACAAAATTTACTGTTATGCAGACTACTGCATTATTGTAAAAATGGTATAAATAATATCAGTGCACTAGTGAAAGAATATTAGACTCCCCAGTTGACGTGTATTGGACGTGTGGTGTGATTTGTTTACTCCTGAACATTGGTAAAAATCGAACATTTCCGCTACTTTGAGCTCAGTTTCAAGGTCGTTTTCATCGTCAAAGTAATGAAAATCATCTCTATTTCTGTAATATGTTTTCCATTTTATCACCTAAGACCATGAAAACGCAAATACATCGATAAATACTATACGAAAATACACCTCAAACTCTGCGTTTTAATAAAAAAAACGATGAGTTTTTTTTCTCATTACGCACTGTGTGCTGCAGGATTTTTTTTATGTGGTGAACACTGACCACACAGACCCATTCTCTCACGTGTGGGCCTACCAGCTTTCTTCCGCTTGATTTGAAGCCGCTAGAATTATTGAGTATATATACGTCAGAAACACTGGCTCGTAAGACGTATATATATGACCAAAACAGTCAAAGGGTTAAGAACTGCAAGAAACCCCTTTTGCGTGCCCTAAGTATACTATGGAGGAGCTTGGACATAGGTGAAATTCCACAGTCACTAAAAACAATGGTTACAGCCCCACTCCATAAAGGTGGCAGCAAAGCATTAACTAAGAACTATAGATCAATAGCTCTAACGTCCAACATCATAAAAATCTTTAAAAGAGTGCTAAGAAGCATGATTGCAAACCACCTGGATTCCCAAAAACTGCACAATCCAGGGCAACATGGATTCAGAGCAGGTCACTCCTTCCTCTCGCAACTACTGGATTACTACGATATGGTCTTGGATGCACTGGAAGAAAAACAGAATGCAGATATAATATACAATAACTTTGCAAAAACCATTGACAAGTGCGATCATGGCGTAATAACACACAAAATACAGTACATGCTAAAGAAATAACTGGCAAAGTGGGGAGATGGATCTTCAGTTTTCTAACCAATCGAACACAAAGAGTTAAATCGGAAGCTGCCATAGTGAACAGCTCTGTTCCTCATCCTCATATCAGACATAGACAGAGATGTAATCCACAGCACCGTGTCATCCTTTGCAGATGATACTAGGATCTGCATGAGACTGTCATCTATCGAGGACACGGCTGACCTCCAAGAAGATATAAACAAAGTTTTCCAAAAGGCAACGAAAAACAATGTGATGTTCAATGAAGACAAATTGCAACTACTCCATTATGGAAAACTGGAGGAGATAATAACCAGAACTGAGTATACTACAAACTCCTATAATACAATAGAGGCGTGAGGGACCTGGGAGTGGTAATGTCTGAGGATCTCACTGTCAAGGATCACAACAGTGCCACAATCAAAACTGCAAAGAAAATGATAGGATGGATTATGAGAATGTTCAAAACAAGAGATGCCAAGCCAATGATGATCCTTTTCAAATCACTTGTTCTCTCAAGGCTGGAATATTGCTGTACATTAACATTTCCAATCAAAGCAGGTGTAGAGAACCTTTACTGCACATGTAAGTTCTATCAAACACATCAACTACTGGAAACGCCTGGAAATACTTGACTTGTACTCGTTGGAATGCAGGCGAGAGAGAGATATCATAATCTACACTTGGAAAATCCTAGAAGGAATGGTCCTGAATCTGCACACACAAATCACTCCCTACAAAAGTAAAAGACTGGGCAGGCAGTGCAAAATACCCCCACTGGTACACTAAGAGAAAACACATAAGTGTCTGGGGCCCAAGACAGTACAACAGCCTCCCACCATGCATAAGGGGAATTACCAAGAGGCCCCTGGCTGCCTTCAAGAGGGAGCTGGATCAGTCGGGCGGTGGTTCGTACGCTGGACTACATGCAGCCAGCAGTAACAGCCTGGTTGATCAGGCCCTGATCCACCGGGAGGCCTGGTCATGGACCATGCCACGTGGGTGTCAACCCCCAGAATACTCTCCAGGTAGACTCCAGGTAGGTCCACTCTCCCTGCTCCATGAGCTTCAGCATATCTCTTCTTAGAGCTATGTATGGATCCTGCCTCCACTACACCAGATTGTCCCACTTCCTGACAACTCTACGGCTGAAGAAACTTCTGAACATCTCTGTGACTCATCTGAGCCTTCAACTTCCAGTTGTGATTCCTTGTTGCTGTGTCACATCTCTGAAACTTCCCGTCTCTATCCACCTTGTCAATTCCTCTCAGTATATTAAGTCATTACCATGTCCCCCTATCTCTCCTGTCCTCTAGTGTCGTCAGGTCGATTTCCCTTACCCTCTCCTAATAGGACATACCCGTTAGCTCCAGGACTAGTCTTATTGTAAACCTTTGCACTTCCTCTAATTTCCTGATGTGCTTAACCAGGTGTGGGTTCCATACTGGTACTCCAATATAGGCCTGACATACAAGGTGTACAAAATCTTGAACAATTCCTTGATAAGGTGTCAAAACACTATTGTTAGGTTTCCCAGGTGCTCATATGCTTGACTGCTCTCTTGTGCTCTCTTTTCCTCTCTCTCTCTCTCTTTTCCTCTCTCTCTCTCTTTTCCTCTCTCTCTCTCTTTTCCTCTCTCTTTTCCTCTCTCTCTCTCTTTTCCTCTCTCTCCTTCTCTCTTTCCTCTCTCTTTTCCCTTCTCTCTCTTTTCCTCTCTCTCTCTCTCTCTCTCTTTTCCTCTCTCTTTTCTCTCTCTCTCTTCTCTCTCTCTTTCCTCTCTCTCTCTTTTCCTCTCTCTTTTTCCTCTCTCTCTCTCTCTCTTTCTCTCTCTCTCTCTCTCTTTTTCTCTCTCTTTTTCTCTCTCTCTCTCCTCTTCTCTTTCTCTTCTTTCTCTCTCTCTTTTTCTCTCTCTCTTTTCTCTCTCTCTTTTTCTCTCTCTCTTTTCTCTCTTCTCTCTCTCTTTTTCTCTCTCTTTCTTCTCTCTTTTCTCTCTCTCTCTTCTCTCTCTCTCTTTTTCTCTCTCTCTTTTTCTCTCTCTCTTTTTCTCTCTTCTCTTCTTTTTTCTCTCCTTCTCTCTTTTTTCTCTCTCCTTTTCTCTCTCTTTTTTCTCTCTCTCTCTTTTCTCTCTCTCTTTTCTCTCTCTCTCTCTCTCTCTCTCTCTCTCTCTCTCTCTCTCTCTCTTGCATGTGTGTGTTGTGTGTGTGTGTGTGTGTGTGTGTGTGTGTGTGTGTGTGTGTGTGTGTGTGTGTGTGTGTGTGCGCGCGCGCGCGCGCACGCACGTGCATGTGTACACTCACCTACATGAGGTAGCAGGTGTGCATGCACACACATGCACAAAAAATGCACACACAAAGCTACAATTAACTTTGCCAAATATACACCAATTAAACTAACAAGCATACAATAAATAAATACTGTTACATTAAAATAAAATACGTTACTTTAGTTAAGAAAAATTAAAGACTTCCCTAAAATTTTTCACATCTGACAGGTACTCCAGCAGACATAAAACATATACCGATATACCAAAAATGGCCAAATCCACTGAACTATGCTGAATTCTTTCATATGATTGCCATATTTACTGTTTTCACAACTGTAATGAATTACAGCCTACAAATAACAGCATGCATTATTAATCAAGGAACCTTATTAACTGCAAGAGATGACTGGAAAAGATGGACAAGTGCCTCACCCGAATCTGGACGCGGACTTAGTCTTGGAGGGGCTAGAATGGGCCGGTGGTCGGAAGACTCTGAGCCCCAGGTGCCCTGAGGAGTCGCTCTGGCAAAGGGGTTTCCCATGCCAGTGCTGGCAAGAGTAGTGACTGTTGAGGTACTGTGAGGTGATGACAATGAAGACACTTTGTTGTTACTGTTGCTGCTGCTGCTGTCAACACTGCTGCTACATGCACTGCTCCCATCACCTGCAGTATCAACACAACAAATTTTTTACAACTCACTTGCCGCGAGTTCAAGCCTCACCCATACAGTATTTACTTTTAACGCAACAAATACTGGATTACTAATAAATAAAAGATTATACAAGTCAAACATGAAAGCCAGAAAAAATAAGTTTGACTTTCCATCTGACCAAAACACAAACAGCTTGTAAGCACAACTAAACACCTATAGCACTGTCCAGTACCATAAGCCAGGCTGAAAGCACAATACGATAGGGAAAAACTAATCAATTAAAACTTATGAATAACAAAATCCTAACTTATCATTATTAATAGACATCTCACCAAATTGTGTATGAGGCAATCATTTATTACTATAAATCCATGAGCAACTTTTTTTTTTTACCTCAAGTTTACCAAAATCTAAAGAAATTAATTTAGTGCACATTTCATTAGGTGCTGTCAGTTTATTTTTTCAAAACAGAATGAAGTAAATAAATGAAGCTATGATCAACGTAAAGAAATACTGTAACACAAATATTACAAAGTTGAATCAGCTGATCCTGAGACACCCCTTGAAAGGGTACCTCATGAAAATTAATTCTTTATTCATAGCCAAATTAACATGCCAACTCGGTCATCTGAGTGCCCTTCAGGTCCATGCCCAAAGCTTAATTTTAATACAGAGCAAGGCAGCACAGAGCAAACAAGCAATAATAACATCTGTCTAGCACAGCAGATACTGCATGAGCTTACAGAACTGGTAATGACAGTATTAATACTGTATTTTATAAATTAATACCTTTTCAACTGATGCCAACAGATGAAAATATTGCTATAATTACTAACTTTGTGTGTGGTAAGAATAACCTGTGTAAGAGAGGGCTGGATGCTTGGCTCTGATGGAGGTGTGGCACACTGCCAGGAGTGCAACAAGTACTGGGAAGGGGTGAAGTAAGCTGGTTTGGAACTCCAGCCAGGCAAGACACTACCAGTTTGACAGCTGGTTTCTCCAACAGAACCTCTCTGCCTCTGCAGTCACCCCTCACCTTCACTCATTGCCTCCCAACCTCTCATTTACAGTGCTGTCCACCCTAGCTTGACACAGCTGAGTACACCAGCTTTTAACTCTTTCAGGGTTTCGGACATACTAGTACGGCTTACGCACCAGGGTTTTTTACATACGCCTATATTCTAGCACCCTCAAACCTAGTGAGAGAAAGCTGGTAGGCCTACATATGAAAGAATGGGTCTATGTGGTCAGTGTGCGCAGTATAAAAAAAATCCTTCAGCACACAGTGCGTAATGAGAAAAAAAAACGGACCGTATTTTTGGATTAAAACAGCGACTTTGCACTGTATTTTCGTATGGTATTTATTGTTGTATTCTAGTTTTCTTGGTCTCATTTTATAGAATGGAAGACATATTACAGAAATTGAGATGATTTTGACTGGTTCTACAATGAAAAGTACCTTGAAATTGAGCTCAAAGTAGCAGAAATGTTCGATTTTTACCAAAGTTCAAAAGTAAACAAATCATGCTAAGCCTCCAATACACGTCAACTGGCGAGTCTAATATTCTTTCCCAAGTGCGCCGATATTATTTATACCATTTCTACACTAATGCAGTAGTCTGCATAACAGTAAATCTTCTATTTTTTGTGAGAATAAAAATTCAAAGTGGAAAGCAAAAGAATGAAAGAGGAGCGTGGGAACGTGACTAATGAACAGAGGAAATGTTATTTTAATGCCAGGAATGTCTTTCCTGTTTATTCTGGACCTTACTTGGAAATTGGCATTTTTGAAATTTGTGTGAAATTGGCAAAATTACTAAATTCTGATCCTGTATTGGATAGTTGAAATCGATAAATGGGTGGTTTCTTGTACTCATTCGATAGAAAAAATGAAGTTCTAGCGAAATAGTTATGATTTTGTCGACTAGTACAATGGAATTGGCCGAAAATAGGGCTCAAAGTGGGCAAAATTGCCAATGAGTAAACATCGTCGAGACCACTAACTTCGTGAGAGCAAAATTCCGTAAGTTTTCCATCAAATTTCAAACTTTTGGTGCCATTATGATTGGGAAAAGATTCTCTATCTTTTCATAAGGGAAAATTATTTTTTTTTTTTAAATTTGGCCGACCCTGAGAACGAGTCTTGGAGAGGGCCTGTCGACCCTCAAAGGGTTAAAGGGTTAAGTAAATATGCTTATGATAAAAAATGATTACAAAAATTCTGAGGATACCAGAGTATTACAAAATGATTTGGATAGGTCAATGTGGAGACATGGCAGATGCAATTTAAGGTAGACAAAGTACAGTTCCTAGGTAGTAGGTTGGTAGACAGCAACTGCTTGCATGTACAAGCACGCGCATGCGCGCGCACACACACACACACACACAGTTCCTCGCAAGAGGTTACTGCAAAAGCTAGAGGATCAGACACATAACAGGAGGCACTGCAATGGATCAGAGAATACCTAACAGGGAGGCAACAACGAGTCATGGTATGTGACGAGGTGTCAGGGTGGGCGCCTGTGACAAGCGGGGTTCCACAGGGGTCGGTCCTAGGACCTGTGCTGTTTCTGGTATATGTGAATGACATAACGGAAAGGATAGACTCAGAAGTGTCCTTGTTTGCAGATGATGTGAAGTTAATGAGAAGAATCAAATCGGACGAGGATCAGGCAGGACTACAAAGAGACCTGGACAGGCTACAAGGCTGGTCCAGCAACTGGCTCCTTGAGTTTAACCCTGCCAAATGCAAAGTCATGAAGATTGGGGAAGGGCAAAGAAGACCACAGACACAATATAGTCTAGATGGACAAAGACTGCAAACCTCACTCAAGGAAAAAGATCGTGGGGGGGGGGGGGCGAGTATAACACCGAGCATATCTCCTGAGGTGCACATCAATCAGATAACTGCTGCAGCATACAGGCGTCTGGCAAACCTATGGATAGCGTTCCGATACCTTAGTAAGGAATCGTTCAAGACTCTGTATAACATTTACATCAGGCCCATACTAGAGTATGCAGCACCAGTTTGGAATCCACATCTGGTCAAGCACGTCAAGAAATTAGAGAAAGTGCAAAGGTTTGCAACAAAACTAGTCCCAGAGCTAAGGGGATTGTCCTACGAAGAAAGGTTGAGGGAAATCTGCCTGACAACACTGGAGGACAGGAGGATCAGGGGAGACATGATAACGACATATAAAATACTGCGCGGAATAGACAAGGTGGACAAAGACGAGATGTTCCAGAGATGGGACACAGAAACAAGAGGTCACAACTGGAAGTTGAAGACTCAGATGAATCAAAGGGATGTTAGGAAGTATTTCTTTAGTCATTGAGTAGTCAGGCTGTGGAATAGCCTAGAAAGTGAAGTAGTGGAGGCGGGAACCATACATAGTTTTAAGGCACGGTATGATAAAGCTCATGGAGCAGGGAGAGAGGGGACCTAGTAGCAATCAGTCAAGAGGTGGGGCCAGGAGCTATGACTCGACCCCTGCAACCACAAATAGGTGAGTACAAATAGGTGAGTGTACACACACACACCTACCTACACCTCTCTGGGTTTTCTTATATTTTTTTATTAGTTCTTGTTTATTTTCTTTTATCTCCACGGAGAAGTGGAAAAGAATTCTTTCTCCATAAGAAATGCGTGTCATAAGAGGAGACCAACATGCCAGGAGCAAGGGGCTAGTAACCCCTTCTCCTGTATACATTAGTAAAGTTAAAAAGAGAAACTTTCGTTTTTCTTTTTGGGCCGCCCTGCCTTGGTGGGATATGGCCGGTTTGTTGAAAGAAGAAAAATACAGTTCTAATTCTTAGAAAAGAAAATAACTTAGGCACCTCTAAACTTAATATGTAGTAGATGCGAATCAAACTGAATGTGAAGAGAGCCCTAGGTGTTCTGGTTAGCAGAAATCTAAAGCTAAGACAAAGTTTTGACAACAAACTTAATGTACTTCACAGCTACATAACAATAATAATAAATAATAAAAAGTTCCACAGTTATACTGAATGCAACACTTCAGCTTTATTTATTGTTGGTAAAGCCTCATTTAGATTATGCAGCTCAATTCTAGCTTCCATATTACAGAATGGACATAACTGCACTGGAAAACAAAATTGAGAAAATTAATCTCATGCATGAGAATTTTTTCCTATGACGACAGGTTGAAGGCAATGTATTTACACTTCTGAAAGGTATAGAATTAGGGGGATACAACTAAAGTCAGAAAACAGAACATAGGACATAAAGCACTTCAAGTTCAAAATTCAAATATTTATGTCTCTACATAGATGGGTCTATGAAGGATGAGGTGAATCATAGAATTGATGAGGGGAAAAGGGTGAGTGGTGCACTTAGGAGTCTGTGGAGACAAAGAACTTTGTCCATGAAAGCAATGAGGGGAATGCATGAGAGTATAGATGTACCAACACTTGTATGGGTGTGAAGCATTGGTGATGAATGTTGCAGCGAGGAGAAGGCTGGAGGCAGTGGAGATGTCATGTCTGAGGGCAATGTGTGGTGTGAATATAATGCAGAGAATTCGGTATTTGGAAATTAGGAGAACGTGTGGGATTACCAAAACTATTATCAAGAGGGCTGAGGAGGGGTTGTTGAGGTGGTTCGGACATGTAGAGAAAAGGGAACAAAACAGAATGACTTTGAGTGTACAAGGGAACCTCAGATTTCAAACGTATCACTTATCGAACTCTTCGGAAATCAACCACTTTTTCGAACCAACTTCGTCCCTATTATCGAACCTGTCCACCTTCTTCAAAGATCAAGGAGATTTGCGCAAGTGGAATGATGCCCAAATGTTTGTGGAGAAGTACCACCCTGAGCAAGCTGAAACAAGCCATCTTTGCAACAAGTTCAGTGACAAAACCATGTCCCATTTTAGGGAAATTTTAAAGATGCACCAGAAACAGAGGACTGTGGACAGTTATTTTGTGAGACAGGGGTCCAGTGACTCTCAAGCTGGTCCTAGTGGCATTAAAAGACAGAGAAGGGAAG